AAATTCCTATCGTTGATAGGAATTTTACGACATTTTTTTGTAGCGACGTTTTATATCTTCTCAGGATATAGAGTGTGTTTCCCAAAAAGAGATAACAATAATAGTAGGTTGTTATTTTAATGAAATACGTATTTATTATTATATTCAGGGAAAATCGCGTTTAATTGAGCAGTGTTTAATTACTAATTGTAGTAGTATAGTTATATAATATGGTATTCACTTGAGGATGGTAACTGGGTTAATTAATTGACATATAAGTACGTACTTATCAGTCTATTAATCTATCTAATAGTAACAGCTTTCAAATCGGGCGTGTAAATTGTGTTATATTATACACAGTAATTTATGTTTACCTTTAAATATCGGTATCACTACAGGGGATTGTTAGTAATGGAGTCGAAGTGACCTATTGCCATTCTATCAGGTCGACCTCCACGTGGTTTTCCCTGGAAACCAACGTAGTTAATTCTAGTGGAATTCGTCACAATGGGTTCACTGACCCGCTTTCAGCGTCAGCTATCATCTGTCACTGGTGCCCTGCAAGCGTATAACGATAGCGCAGGCGGGGTTGCCATTCCATTAATACTCATTAAAAGGGGGGAAAGGGATTATTAGTAATGGAGACTAAGAATCCCATTGCTAGCAATATACCCAACCAGGTCGACTTCCTTGCGGTTCTCCCTGGAAATTATCATGGTTAATTCCTGATGAATTCATCATGATGGGCTAACTGGCCTGTTTTCTTTCTCATCTATCACCCTTCACTGGTGTTCCGCCAGCGTATCCCGTTAGCGCAGGCGGGGTTACCCTACCATTTTCACCCATCGAAAAAATGAAATACCCATTAAAAAAATATCGGTATCACTTGACATCTATATATTCGTTTCCTTTGAACATTGTGAGTTACTAAAAGTCGCCAAATGAAAGTATCGATCGTTCTATTGATCAATACACTTCATATTATTTTTCTTAAATATCTTTTATGTACACACAATGTCTATTTATAATTTTATTAAGTACTTATCTTTTTTTATAATATAAAACAAGAGGTAAAGGGCGAGCCTACTTTCATCTGTTGATTTGTTGTAGTAAACTCAAAAGATCAGGAAAATATATATTTTTTTTGATGGGTGAAAATGGTATGGTAACCCCACCCCGCCTGCGCTAACGGGTTACGCTGGCGGAGCACCAGTGAAGGGTGATAGATGAGAATGAAAACAGGCCAGTTAGCCCATCATGATGAATTCATTAAGGAATTAACCATGATAGTTTCCAGGGGGGACCGCGAGGAGGTCGACCTGGTTGGGTATACAGGATAATATTTATAAATATTTATAGACACACAATGTCTAGTTATAGTTTTATTAAATATTTATCTTCTTTTATAATATAAAATAAGAGGCAGAATGCGAGCCTACTGTTATCTGTTGGTTTGTTGCACTAAACTCAAAATACCAGGAAAATATTAATAAACATACGCATAATATGTGTCTGGTACTAGGAAAGTTACTAATTATACATACGTATCTGTCACGCCTCTCTCCCATTAGGGTAGGCAGAAACAATGGAACGCCAAATGCTTCGATTCAAACAAACCTCTTTCGCTTCTTCCACATTCATCAATCTTTTCATACACGCTCGCCGGTTACGGGTACTTTTGATTTGGCCCTTCTTCAGCACGTCGCCTATTTGGTCGACATGTTGTCTATCTGTCTGTCTGTATGTTTATACTGGCATTACGCAAAAACTATTACACTATCAATTGGATAGTGTACTAGTGTACAAAACGGTGTATGTACGTGGAAAGTGTTTATGAAAAACTAATAAATGAGCGAATACAATAATTTTTAGAAATTTTGTTTGTTTGACTGCTAGTCTACATGTCTATCTGTCTATAAGTTTGTTCTCGCATCATGCAAAAACTACTGTATCAAATCGGATGAGGTTTTCACAGTTGTATAACTAAAAGTCTAGTTTAAAAACTGGTATAAGATTTATCTTGATACGTTATCTAGAAGTATATAAGTCTATTTTATTGTTTTTCCTATTTCTGAAACAACGCGTGCGAAGTAAGGGGAAACAGCTAGTATAACTATAATTATCATGTACATGAGTCATTGTCAGTTTGCAATTAGTTCATTGTTGTCCTTTGTTTACTTTTTTTGTATAACAAATGTAAATATATACCCACGTATTTTATGTGAATGTATTTTAAAATACAAGTTTTCCTTAGCAGTCTTGCCAATATAAAAATTGGAGTAACATGAGAGTAAATCCTTTACATTAAACAATGGAATACTTAAGATGCTTAAGACCTACAGGACCTACTTAGAAGTGACGAAGATATCGCGTAAGATATGGACAAAAAAAAATATACTTGTTTATTTTTAAAACGTTTGGAAAAATCCCAAAAATTTAAAACAAATAGATTCCAATTATATTTAACGTAGTTTGTTAACTTTAAGATTTTTTTTAATAAAAAAAAAAGTTATGAAACCTCGAGTAATAAGTATTTTTTTTTTATATATTTTTTACATTACTAATAGGTACTTATGTATATGCCAAATATGATGATATTGGTTGAGAGTTGAGTTAAAATAAATAAATAGAATAAATAGAGTTATAATAATAAAAATATTTACAAGTGTACTTTGTTTCTTTGGATTCTTATTCAATAAAAAAAAAAAAAAAACTATTGCTAAGCCGTGAAATGTGAAAGAAGTTTTGGCGGGAAAGCATCGAAATAGTTTCGTATTTATTTTATTTTGTCAATATATATAAAATAAGCTATAAGTATTTAAAGGAACTTTAATTTTGATTAGCAATTAGTTGAATTATATTACCATACTGATGTATATAATTTTTTTACATAATTGTCCGTCTAATTGGATTGCTTGGGTACCTCTGTCCCATTCGTGTTTCTACCGTGAAGCAGTTGTGTTTGCATGGCTGTGTTTCGGTTTGAAGGGTGGGATATGGCGTGAATTTACAGGGTACAGAGGAATAACACCTGAGTCCTCAGGAATGGCAACGCATGGAGAGTATCATGGGCGAAACAGTATACGCTGTTATGTCCATGGTACTGCTCATGTCTATAGGCGACGGTTACCACTTTCCATCAGGTGGGCCGTCAGCTTGTTTGCCATTCTAAGTTGTATAAAAAAAAAATTCCAGTCTTTAATTTAAAAAGGATTTTATCGGTGTATATGTAGTTAGATGCGTAGAACTAGGTTCTTATGAGTATCTTTTTTTATTGTTGGAACAATAGAATAAAAAAGAAAGTAGTAAAAATTAAAATAGGCAAAGGCATCTCCTTATACTTGCTAAAATATCCGTTGTGTGACGTCAATAAATATTGTATTATAAATTTACCTAACATATAAACTTAGAATGAATACGTACTTAAGTACCTATAAAAGAAATTACTTAGGTATATTGATGAATCAGTACCTATTTTAGTTGATTACATTTTATTGAAGTCAATCGACCCATTAATGTCCTGCTATTAATAAATGGAGTTAATAAATAATTTTAATGGTTTAAATAAAACTTTGTAATTGTTTCCTTTATAATTATTATTGTACCAAAGTAAAAGTATATATATACATATATATATATATATATATATTTTTAATGGATGCTTAATGGAATGGTAATCCCGCCTGCGCTATCGGTATACGCTGGCGGGGCACCAGTAAGGGGTGATAGGTGAATAATGAAAAAAGGCAGTTCAGTCAGCCCATCGTGATGAATACACATGGAACTCAGCACGATGGTTTCCAGGGGGAACCGCGTGGAGGTCGACCTGATAGGGTATATTGCTAGCAATGCGACTGGTAGCCCGCATTACTAACGATCCCTTCCCCCCAGTATATATATATATATATATATATATATATATATATATATATATATTAATTATCAATGATCTATATATAGATCATTAATAATTATATGCATTACAACTTAATGTCTTGATTTATATTTATTTTACTAATGGTGAAAAGACTTGCACAGAGTTCAATAGTTTCTTTTAGCTTATCAAGTTATTAATGGGGTCTAAAAGTCCCATTGCCAACCATAGGTCGACCTCCAAGCGGTTTCCCCTGGACACCATCGTGGTTATTTCTTGTTAATTTTTTTTCTTTCCATCCCATACCCTTCCTTGTGCTTTTATACCCATCTTTATCATTTCTCACTGGTGCCCCCATAGTGAATACCGATAGCACAGGCAGAGTTACCATTCCATTTTTACTTATTGAATAAATAGTTTCACTCCATTATTACTATTGTCCCGTGTAGGTTCCAAATTTAAATAAGCCAATCTTTCCTTTCTCGTGGGTGTCGTAAGAGGCGACTAAGGGAACTTAATAGTCGAGAAATGAGCAGCAGCGTGTCTTTTTTTTATGGGTGAAAATGGTATGGTAACCGCGCCAACGCCAACGGGATACGCCTGCGGAGCACCAGTGAAGGGTGATAGGTGAGAATGAAAACAGGCCAGTTAGTCCATCATGATGAATTCATCAGGAATTAACCATGATAGTTTCCAGGGGGAACCGCGTGGAGGTCGACCTGGTTGGGTATATTGGTAGCAATGGGATTCTCAGTCCCCATTACTAACAATCCCTTTCCCCCCAACAGCGTCTCCTTTAAATCATCACCAAAGCCTAACTGCGGTTACCAACCTGTCTGCCAAGTGTGGCAACTACTAGCAAAACCCTTCAAGAGGGAGGCCTATGTTATGCACTGGACAGTTAACGCCTGATATGAAGATGATGATTACTGTTACCATTTCTTAGATTTTTATTAAGAAATATATTTATTATTTAATAAAACATGCTGTCTATTAATTGTATTAATTTTACATTAAAATGTTTCATTTATTATGTTTATAAATTATTGGCAACTGTTACCACTTTCCATCAAGTGAGCCGTCTGTTTATTTGCCATTCCAAGATGCATAAAAAAGTTATATAAAAAAATTAAAAAAAAATCTTTACCTGGAATCGATACCCTCAGCCCTTTAGGGTATATAGCTTCAAGTTTCGCCGCTGGCACTACATACTGTGCCGCCCTCGGTTGCGCATAACACCACGCTATTAACGCGAAGAAACAAATCAATTTAAGCGCCATTACGTTCGCTCTCGGCAACGTTTGACGGCCGACTGCCGAGTAAATGAAATACTTTATGCGTTGCGCATGCGCACCTTTTGAGAAACAGGAAAATAAAAAAAAATATCAAATACATAATGTAAGACATTTTATTAGACTTTTATGAGATTTACAAAACGAGAAGATTCTTAAATTAATTGTTTTTTTTTTTTATATGGCTATGTTATTCGATTGGGTCGTCAGTTCTGAATTGATTTTGGTAACTCGTTGATTGCATTCGGTGGCGTGTTTTATTTATTTATTTATTTAAGGCAAACAAACAGCTAGAACAATACATAATTATATACTTAAATAGTAATTTGGTAGACACTAAAGTTTGCACAAATATAATATAAGTGAAGGAAACACAACATTAAACAATATTAAATTAAACAATACGATATTAAACAAAACTATTGAAAACTACAGCAACATTGTCAACATTTTGTGTTCCTATGTCCAGCAGTGGACTGCACAAACTATCCAGCGTATACCGATAGCGCAGGCGGGGTTAACATTCCATTCTAATCCATTTAAAAAAAAATACACAATTTATAATGATGAACAAAAGCCAATCTGTTTAGCTCTGTCGCACTTTCAACCGTACCCAGTGGCCCCCTTTGATCCGAATGTTGAAGGTTCCCGTTGCGAGTTCTGCTGGTACAGGGGTTCTATCACACGGCGTCACTTCGATGTGCTGTAGCACTTGGTACAGCATTACTTTCAATTCGCACAACGCGAATCGTGAACCTGGTAAAAGTAATTGATATAAAAAAATTATATATATATATATATATATATATATATATATATATATATATATATATATATATATATATAATTATTTACAATAAGATTTGTAAATATTTTCGTATGTTTTGATTACGGATTTGAATATAATTAAGCTTATAGATTTTTTCTTTTTTTTTTGTTATGTTGATTTATGAGAGATTATATTTATGAGAGAATTCCAATAAAATAGGAATATTTTTAGGGTTCATCACCAAAATGGTACAAATAAAACCTAATAGTGCGACTTTATTCGTCCGTCCATCCTTCCGAACGTCCGTCCGTTTATCACAGCGCTATATCTACTATTTTTTTTATGCAACTTGGAATGGCAAACAAGCTGATAGCCCATCTGATGAAAAGTGGTAACCGTCGCCTATAGACATGAGCAGAGTATACTGTTTCGCCCAAGATACTTCCCCATGCGTTGCCATTCTTGAGGACTCAGGTATTATTCCTCTGTACCATGTAAATTCACTGCCATATTCCACCCTTCACACCGAAACACAGTCATGCAAACACAACTGCTTCACGATAGAAACACGAATAGGACAGAGGTGCCCAAGCAAACGATTTTTGTACAAAGTCTCCCTCAGGTCTTAATTTTAAAGAAGAAATGAGCAGCAGTATGACTTTAATTAAAAAAAAAATCTACTAAATGTAAATATTACCAATGCAGTTCCGAGGGCCAATTCCAAACGGCAAATAAGAAGAAGGAACAATGTTGTGTTTATTTTCCTCAGAGAACCTCTCCGGGTCGAATTTCAATGGATCCGGGAACAGCTTTGGATCCCGATGGAACGCCCATGCCGGTATCATAATGCCTTCACCTTTGCGGATCTAGGAATGACAGAAATTAATAAATTAAACGTACAAATAAATTTATATTATTTTAAGATAAGTGAGTTATAAACTCTCATTGAAGTAAATATAATTTAAAATGCGATAAATAAATGTGTGTTAAAAACAAACTAATTATTTTGATGTAAAAACGAAAATACTAGATCGATTTTTATGAAATTTCTATAAGACTAATCTGAAAGTATATCCTTTCAGACGAAAGAAGAATTTTCCAAATCTGTTTTTTTTTATACAACTGAGAATGGCAAACAAGATGACGGCCCACCTGATGGAAAGTGGTAACCGTCGCCTATAGACATCAGCAGTACCATGGACATTACAGAGTATACTGTTGCGCCCATGATACACCCCATGCGTTGCCATTCCTGAGGACTTAAGTGTTATTCCTCTGTACCCAGTAAATTCACGCCATATCCCACCTTTCAAACCGAAACACAGCCATGCAAACACAATCTCTTCATGGTTCCTCCACTTGACCTGTTTCTTCATCCAGGTTATATTCATTTTAAAATTTACTTACGATGTAATCTTCAGTAGCTTTGCTGTTTGGTTTTCCCATGTTATAGTCTTTAACGCAGATTCTGTCAAATCCAACGGCTGGAGTCCATAGTCTAAGCACTTCTGAAAATTGAAAATGGTTTCTTGAATGACTGAATTTTTATTATATATATATATATATATATATATATATATATATATATATATATATATATATATATATATATATATATATATATATATATATATATATAAAAAAATCATAATTACAAGAAGCAAGATGAAGAAGCAACAACGAGCGGTCTTATCGCTACATAGCGACCTCTTCCAGGCTACCTACCTTATTATTATATTTTATTATTATTATTAATGAATGGGTCATCCCTTCTTTTCCCGTGAGAGTCGGACAACAGCTTCCCTCTTAAAACATTACCAATGCCTAACTGCGATTGCTAACTCGACTGCCAGGGAGGGAAAGGGATTGTTAGTAATGGAGACTGAGAATCCCATTGTTAGCAATATACCCTCTCAAGTTGACCTCCATGTGGTTCCCCCTGGAAATATTCATGGTTAATTCCTGATTAATTCATCATGATGGGTAAATTAACCTGCATTTATTCTCACTTATCATCTTCCACTGGTGCCTCGTCAGTGTATACCGATAGCGCGGGCGGGGTTACCAATCCATTTTCACTCATCAAAAAAAACCCGACTGCCAAGCATAAAGGGGGTTACTGGCAAAACCCCCTAACCCCCTTTATGGGGGAGGCCTATGTTCAGCAGTGAACAGTCGGGGGAAAAGGGATTGTTAGTAATGTGGTCTAATGAACCCATTGCTAGTAATATGCCCTATTAGGTCGACCTCCACGCGGTTCCCCTGGTAACCATCGTGGTTAATTCTAGTGGAATTCGTCACGATGGGCTAACTGACCTTCTTCCGTTCTCATCACTCACTGGTGCCCCGCCAGCGTATACCAATAGCGCAGGCGCGGTTACCATTACATTATCACCCATTAAAAAAAATCAGTGAACAATTCACTGATATGATGATGATAATGATGATAATCATTAATGACAAAATATAAAACATTTTATAGTAATCATCTTTCTTACCAGAAACAACCATATCTAAATATTTCATATTTTGTACGCTGTTATAATCAAATTTGCCTTCATTCCTGGCATTGTTTTCTCTAATTTCTTCCACCAGATTCTCTTGAACATCAGGGTTTATGGCCAGTTCGTGCAATGCTAACGACATTATTGTGGACACTCCTTCAAATCCAGCTATGAAGAATATGGCCGCTTGGGCTATTATGTCGTTTTCTGACCAAGCTGACGAGTAAAATTATAATAAGGATTGTGTTAAAAAAATTTGATTTTTATTGTAGAAAAACCAGTTATTTTCATGTACAAATTAAAATATTAAACCGATTTTATAGACATTTCTACTGAACTGAATCTGTGAGTATATCCTATAGCAGAAAAAAAATATTTCAAATCGCTTTACTAATGACGGAGTTATGAGATAACAAACATGAAACAATACAAACTGAGTCGAGAACTTTCTTCTTTTTAAAGTCGGTTGAACAAATGCGTTGTGATGGGTCAACTGACTTGACTTCATTCTCCCTTATCATCCCTCACTGGTGCCCTGCCAGTGTATACCGATAGCGTGGGTTTGGTTACCGTTTTATTATTATCCATTAAAGAAAAAACAAAATTTATATAATTTTGAAATAAATCTATTAAAAATTTAGTACATATTGGTCTTTACAATAATGATTTCACTGTGAACCCAATTTGAAATTTTAAATTTAGATATAAGGCTAAAATAATGGAGTGTCAGAATCGATCACAATGCAGCCCTTTTTCTTTTTTACTTATAGACACACGATTCCACTTTCTAAATTCAAATATTTATTTATTTATTTATACATATGTTATTATTTAATATTTTTACCTCTGTCCACAACATTTCTTCCGACTGACGACTCTTCCACCGTGGCGAATCCAGCATTGGCGTCACGTGTGACTCCATTGTCGTGGGACAATTTCCCTGTAAATATAAATTAATGAAGAAATAGATAATAAATCAAAATTTGAGTCGTTTCTGATTCGTCATTTCCATGTTAAGAAATAGGTTTTATTTCTTAATATGATATTATAATTTGATAATTTCACGAAATTATTATTTTAAGGACCAACATAAACTAAATTTATTGTTGGAAGTTTTGTAATTACACATTATATTTTAATGTAATTTTCGCCGGTTTAATTTTGATGTAATTTGGTAGAGAAAGCTGAACTAGCTTCGGGATCATTCTAGTCCCTTAATCAACAGCCCGAGGCGCGCAGGCTGGCGCTTGCGTCACAGCCGCTCAAGATTTTAATTACACGTAAGCTATACTGGTAGTTAATACATTAAAACTAGGGGGAAAGGGATTGTTAGCAATGGAGTTTGACAGCCCCATTGCTAGTAATATGCCCTATTAGGTCGACCCTCACGTGGTTCCCCCTGGAAACCATCGTGAACAATTCTTGTTGAATTCGTCACGATGGGCTAACTGACCTGCTTCTTCCTCACCTATCATCCTTCACTGGTGCCCCGCCGGTGTATACCGATAGCGCGGGTGGGGATACCATTCCATTAACACCAATTAAAAAAAATACATTAAAACTAAATTTATGATCATTTTGACTTAAATATATTATAAATATAGTTAAATATTTGTTTTGTTTTCAAAAGTTCTTTATTTATCATAAGTGATTACAAATATAATAAATTCCAATTTACGTAAGCCTTGAATTTACAATCGGCCATAAATCGTTTGGCGAGTAATATACAATCCTTCAAACATTTAAAATAGAGATACAAGTATCTATAAAATAAACACAAAATGCACATATTTGTAAATTATGCATAATAACAAAACTTAAATAGTTAAATATTGGTCCTAAGAATAAAGATCTCGTTATATTTCAATTTCAAATTTAAATTTAAAGATAGGTTTCGAAAAATTATCTTTCATAATTAACATCACTGTATCGATTGTTATTGACGTAAATAATCAATGATTATAGAACTCTGAAGTTTCTCTAATTATAGATATGGTATAAAAAAATCTAAATGCTTTTAAAATAAAAAAAAAAAGATAATTTGCACCTAAAAATTTACAATACTAAGAATATTGTAAATTTTACAGCTGTACAATATTGCTTACAATCATTCTGTAGGCGCTTGCTCTGAATGTAACGTTCCAATTTTGAATTTTGTATTGGGTTAAAACAAAAGATACAATAATTATTTTAGAGATGTTTCTAGAATATTAATTTTGTAAAATCATACATTTTGTACACTCGTGTGAAGCCGGGTCGGATCGCTAGTTAAGTAATAAATACAAATGTATAAGTACCTTTCTTAGCTTCCATAAGTAGGTGTATCATATCAGGTCTGATGATGTTATGTTGCTCTCGATAAATCATTGTATCTCGTACTAAGTTTTCAAAGAAACTAGACGTTTTCGAACTGAAAAATCGAATTTTTAATACCTGAAAAAAAATATGCTTTTCTAAATTATGTATTTATTTATTTAAATAACTTTATCGATTAAAATTGCCGTGTCGGTCCCGGCATAGAATGGCACACCCCTTCCTTTCCTATAAGTGTCGTAAGAGGCGACTAAAGGAATTTAAGGTTGTGCGATGGGCAGCAGCGTCCCTTTTAAAACATTCCCAAAGGCCTAACTGCAGTTGCCAACCCGCCTGTCAAGCGTGGCAATTACTGGCAAAACTCCCCCTCAAAGGGGAGGCTTATGTTCAGCAGTGGACAGTTAGGCTAATATAGCGTTATATTTGTTTTATGTGTTACATGCCTTTTTTTTTTCGTGGGTGAAAATGGTATGGTAACCCCGCCTGCGCTAACGGGATACGCTGGCGGAGCACCAGTGAAGGGTGATAGATGAGAATGAAAACAGGCCAGTTAGCCTATCATGATGAATTCATCAGGAATTAACCGTGATAGTTTGCAGGGAGATCCGCGAGGAGGTCAACCTGGTTGGGTATATTGCTAGCAATGGGATTCTCAGTCTCCATTACTAACAATTCCTTTCCCCCCATATACATGTATTAGACCTGCTGATTATATTCTCCCCTCCTTTAGTCGTCTCTTACGAAACCCATCGAAAGGAAGGGGTGGCTCATGCTATGCCGGGACCACATGGCAAATATAGCATCAAAAAATATGAAACTAATACAATTATATTGCCCCAACCCCATTACTAGCAATTTGTCTTATTAGGTCGACCTCCACGTGGTTCCCCCTAGAAACCATCGTGAACAATTCTTGTTGAATTCGTCACGATGGGCTAACTGACCTACTTCATCCTCACCTATCGTCCTTCACTGGTGCCCCGCCGGTGTATACCGATAGCACGGGTGAGGTTTTTTTTTATGGGTGAAAATGGTATGGTAACCTCGCTTGCGCTAACGGGATACGCTGGCGAAGCACCAGTGAAGGGTGATAGATGAGAATGAAAACAGGTCAGTTAGCCCATCATGATGAATTCATCAGGAATTAACCATGATAGTTTCCAAGGAGAACCGCGAGAAGGTCGACGTGGTAGAGTATATTGCTAGCAATGGGATTCTCAGTCTCCACTACTAACAATCCCTTTCCCCCCGCGCGGGCGGGGTTTCCATTTCATTATCATTCATTAAAAAAAAATACAATTATATAAATTGGAGTATACCGGGATTGAATTTTTAAATTAAATTTTTAAGGTCATATACATTGAATATGCGTCTATTTCGGTAGTTGACCTCGACTCGGTCACCCATTGACTTTCCTGTTGACCTTCCTTGTTAAAGATGCGACGACATCTTGTCAAACGATCTATCAAAAGCTAACGTAAGTATATTACGATTTACGATATTCCTACTAGTTGGTAATCTGATTTGTTTATTATTATCAAGTTCATTTTACTTTTTTTTTTTTTATACAACTTAGAATGGCAAACAAGCTGTCGGTCCACCTAATGGAAAGTGGTAACCGTCGCCTATAAACATGTGCAGTACCATGAACCTAATAGAGTATACTGTTTCGCCCACAATACCCCCCATGTGTTGCTATTCCTGAGGACTCAGGTGTTATTCCTCTGTACCCAGTAACTTCATCATCATCATCATCATTTATATAGTTATAGTTATTATTAAATATTGTGTCCCCAAAAAAACTGATTTCCTTTTATCTCTTTTACTGTGTATTATGTGTATGTTTTTTTTTATTGTAATTTGTGTGCTGTAAGTAATGTAAATAAATTATCTATCTATCTATCTAAAAAAAGAGAGCAAGACAGGTAGGGGACGACTATTCTGTATATCTTTGTTCTCCTAATACGACATAACCTGGAATAGAGCTGGCTGAAAGAGAATACATAAAATAGATGCCGTGACAAGAGGAAACTCTTAAACAAAAAAAATTAGACGAAAAAATTTTAAAATAGGCTAATACAATAACTCACTTTCATTATCATCGGAAAAGAGTTGAATGCGATAAATTTTATGAATTGTACAAAATTGAATTGGGCTGCATCTTTGCCTTTCTGATAGAACTCATTGTTCTCTTCCTTGTGCGAGTTGAGTTTAATGCCAAAAGCGCAAGATGCAATCACGTCATTGGCGAATCGAGTCGTCAGCTCTTTAGAGTCGACATCTATATAGTGACCTGAAAGATAAACAATCATCGTCATCAACAAACAATCGTCTACTAAATCACTGCTGAACATTGCCTCCTCCTAAAGGGGTGTTTTGCCAGTAGTTGGTAGGCGAATTAGCAACCGCAATTAGGCTTTGGTGATGTTCTACGAGAGACGCTACTGCCAATCCCTCCACTATTAAGTTCTCTTAGTCACCTCTTACGACACCCACGGGAAAGAAAGGGATGGTTCATTCTATGCCGGGACCACACGGCGATATATGTTTATTGTATCGATTATAATATCAATACAAGTAAGGTATGTAGTAGGCGACGTTTACCACTTTCCATCAGGTGTCAGCTCGTTTGCCATTCTAAGTTGTAAAAAAAATTAAAAAGGGACGAAGAGGTATTTTCAGGGTCGACAATGTGCGCGTAATGCTCCTGTTATTGCACCGGTCATAGGCTACTGTAACTGTTTACTGTCAGGTGAGCCATATGCTTGGTTGCCAATTCAGTGGTATAAAAAAAACATATAAAATAAACTACTAACTATGTCTCGTCATAAGTTATAAGGTATACCTTTTGTATCTTGAATCTTTGTTTTTAGAGCTTGTATCATCTGCTCTCCGGCTTCCACCATGAACGGCACCATCAGACGCATCTTAGAGCTGGTAAACGCTGGACTTAAAGTCGATCGCATATCTTTCCATTCTTGGCCTGTAGATAATTTTTAGATCATTTTAATGAAGTTCAAAAAGAAAGAAGATTCTCAATTCAGTTGTAATTTTTTTTTTATTTTATTTTTGTTTGTTACCTCATAACTCCATCGGTTCTGAACCGATTTTTTTTTATGTGTGAAAATGGTATGGTAGCGCAGGCGGGATGCCTGCGCTAACGGGATACGCCTGTGGAGCATCAGTTATAGGTTATAAGGGTGAGTTATAGGTTATGAGGGTTATCTAAGGGTGATAGATGAAAATGAAAACATGTTTTCATTCCCACCCTTTCATTCCATTTTCACCCATCAAAAAAAAAAAACAAAAATGCGGGTAGTATACAATTTAGTTATCAGTGGTTATTACAATAAGCTCGCCACTAATACAATAAATGTTTATTCTGATCATAAAACAAATATTGATTCTAACCTTTCATAGAGAATAAGTTTCTCCCGAAGAAAGGATCGTTGTCTTGGTCGACCATAGTTCGATGATCCAAGAAGTATTCGAAGTCTTTGACAGCAATTTGTTTTATAAGTTTCAAGTCCCTTATTATTAAGATTGGTTTAAGAAACTCATATTGGCCCACAAACCTGTATAAATAACAAAGAATGTATATTAATAATTGATTTTCTATACTAATCCCAGATAGCAAGGTGACGTCTTTTTTTTTTATATGACTTAGATTGGCAAACAAGCTGACGGCCCACCTGATGGAAAGTGGTAACCGTCGCCTATAGACATGAGCAGTACCATGGACATAACAGTACACACACATACTGTTTCGCCCATGATACCCCCCATGCGTTGCTATTCCTGAGGACTCAGGTATTATTCCTCTGTACCCTGTAAATTCACGCCATATCCCACTCTGCAAACCGAAACACAGCCATGCAAACAACTGTTTCACGGTAGAAACACGAATGAGACAGAGAAAGCAATCGACTTTTGTACAGTCTCCCTCTGGTCTGCGACTCAGATAAGACGTCAGTTTTAAATCATTTTAGAGTCGGTGACTGAAATTGGACGTCTGTATGACGAATAATTGCTATCTAAGATATTATAAAAAGAAAAGATTTTATTATTTATTTGTTTGTTTGTAATAAATAAACTCAAAAACTACTCATTCGATTTAGCAACTCAATCGTATTACGATTAATCAGCGAGTAATATATGTTATTTATTATTTTCGAAAATTATATTTATTCGTGCAAAACCAGGCTGAGTTAACAGTCAAATATAATGGACAAGCTTTATCCTGCCAGTTCTGAAATTCCTCACAAAAAATAACTCCCCAATTTCTTAATTTTTTTTTAATAAATAAAGATGAGTTAGTACTGTATTATCATGCTATACAATCGTAAAGGGTTATAATTAGGGTGAAATTAGGTCAGTTGGCCCACCGTGATGAGTTCGCCAGGAAATTAAGAAAAATGAAACGACGTGGTATTTTTTAATGGGTGAGAATGAAATCCCCGCCTGCGCTATCGGTATACGCTGGCAGGGCACCAGTGAGGGATGATAGGTGACGATGAAAGCAGGTCAGTTAGCCCATCGTGACAAATTGCACTAGAACTAACTACGATGGTTTCTAGGGGGAACCAAATAACCGGACTTGATAAGGTGTATTGCCAGCAATGGGGCAGTTAGACCCCATTACTAACAATCCCTTCCCTCCCTAACGTGGAACTTATTGGAGTTCGATATGACTTCATTTATACCTGTAATCACTTACAGGTTTCTAGCATATCTATACCAATAATGCAGGTAGGGTTTTTTTATTTTGATGGGTGAAAATGGTATGGTAACCCCGCCTGCGCTAACGGGATACGCTAGCGGAGCACCAGTGAAGGGTGATCGATGAGAATGAAAACAGGCCAGTTAGCCCATCATGATGAATTCATCAGGAATTAACTATGATAGTTTCCAGGTGCAGGTCATTCTATTCTATTTTGATCATTCTATTTTGATCAATTAAAAATAAAAAGCGGGTCAAGTGCAATAAAGTATACGCTGTCGGGGCACCAGCGAGGCAGGTCAGTCAAGTATGCAAGCTGAATTGGCAATGGGCTAGTCATACAGCTCTCAGAACCCTCACGTGGAGCAATAAACTCAAATGCATTGCAGGGAGTCAATGGATGCTTGTGGCTTAGGACCGTTCCTTATGGCAGTCTATGGGGCACGCCTATGTTTAGCAGTGGATAGACAATGGCTGAGATGATAATTTTTTTTTTATCTACATCTACACTAGTCTACATCTACATCTACACTAATATTATAAAGAGGAAAGATTTGTATTTTTGTGTGTATATTTGTAATTAATAAACTCAAAAACTACTTTGCCGATTTCAAAAATTCTTTCATCATTAGAAAGCTACATTCACCCTGAGTAACAGGCTATATTTATTGCTAGAAAAGATTAATATCCCTAATCTTTTCTAGCAATAAATCCTTAATAAAACTTTATTAACGTAACTGAAGGTGTAAAAAATGCTATAAAATATCTTTTGTCGCGTGCGCTGCGGCAACTATTGGTGATAGAACAAAAGTATGTTCTATAATATTGAAGAAAATATCAATAACCACAAAAAACTTCGCGATACTATATGTCCAACTATTATCGTTGTCACAATAACCACTTCTTACATTTTAAAAGTTGATAGAAATACCGACCAAAATTACACCATGTTATTCATACTTCTGTTTAAATCCTTATTCAAATAAAACATATTGTTATCGAAAGTGTTTTAATTTATGTTTTTTGAATTGTATACTTTTTGAATTGTTCAAATCGGCTATTCCATTCAATAGATATTACGAATTTAATAAGTCATAGAAATAGAAAAAACAACGCTGTCGTGTATATGTTATTCGTACCTATTTTAGCGGTGCGGGAGAGGTGCAGGTGGGGGTGGGCACACCTATGAAATAGGTAGCTAGGTAGGATCAGATAAAAATGTAAAATGTTGTAAAAATGTCCACCCGTGCGAAGCCGGAACGGGGCGCTAGTTTTTTTTTTTTTAATGGATGATAATGGAATGGTAACCCCACCCGCGCTATCTGTATACACCGGCGGGGCACCAGTGAAGGATGATAGGTGAGGATGAAGCAGGTCAGTTAGTCCATCGTGACAAATTCAACAAGAATTGTTCACGATGGTTTCCAGGGGGAACCACGTGGAGGTCGACCTGATAGGGCATATTGCTAGCAATGGGGCTGTCAAACTCCATTACTAACAATCCCTTTCCCCCCACGGGGTGCTAGTTATATAATAATTTAAGTTCTAAATACAAATATTTATTTTTAACTAGATATAAATGATTATATTTATTTATAATTATGTATTTAGTATCAAGAAAAATACTGTTATCTCACTGACATTTGAACTCCTAATCATTGTAGACCTCAGTATGCTCATACTAATCTATATACACTATTCCAAGTTTATTTTAGGGTTCCGTATCGAATTGCGGATTCGATTCCCACACAGAACAAATATTTGTATTCATTAGTATCGTTGTATTGCTAACTATTTTTTGTATAATATGTATATATTTATTTTACTGAACTAGGTGTTATCTTAAGTGTGGACTGAAAGAAGATGTAGTGACAAAAATCGAAAAAGGAATGTTGCGTTGGTTTGGTCATTTGGAGAGGATGGATGAAAGAAGAATTACGAAAGAGATTTATCGAGCAAGAATGAATGAAGATGTCGGTAGGGGCCAAATTGAAAGTACCTGTAACTGGCGAACGTGTATGAAAAGATTGATAAATGTGGAAGAATCGAAAGAGGTTTGTTTGAATCGAAGCATTTGGCGTTCCGTTGTTTCTGCTTATCCTAATGGGAGACAGGCGTGACAGATATGTATGTATGTGTTATCTTGTGGAAGTCCAATATCAATAGTTATTTGATTAGAATTATTTAATTTAATACCATTACCATTAAACATTATATTTTAATGACTGCGGGTAAATCTATGAGTTTTTTTTTTTATGGGTGAAAATGGAATGGTATCCCAGCCCGCGCTATCGGTATACACCGACGAGGCACCATTGTATATGGCACAATAGGATAACTTTTAAATTATTGAATATACTTTGTTGATTTATTTATTTATAACAACAGATTACAAACATAACTTTTAACAATAGAATACAACAATAGCATTATAAGTTTGCAGTCCAATTATAGTTGTACTTAACATTCACAGAGATGCAACAGAATAGGTTAATTTTTAATACAAAAAAGAATGAATGATAAAAACTACATACAAAATAAGAATTAAAAACAAAACTATCAAACTATGCTTATAAACTATTAGGTTATCAATTACTTATTTAGTACTGAACATAGACCTCCCCTGCAGTCGAAGGTTTTGCCATGTGTTGCCACACTTGGCAGGCAGGTTGGCAACCGCAGTTAGGCTTTGGTGATGATACAAGAGGGGCGCTGTCTTGCCCATCCTTCGCTCCTAATTTCTCTTAGCTATCTCTTACGACACCCACGGGGGAAAAAGGAATAAATTTATTCATATAATTCCTAAATGTTCTCGAGTTAATTCTCTAATTCTTAAATTGATTAAATATAGTTCCTTTTTTTTTTTAAATTATAGTTAGATTTTTTCTGTACCCAATGGCCACTCGAACCAAAGCCCCCATCAGGCCGGGGGCCCGTGAGATTATGCTCGCTTTGCTTTTTGCTACTTACCTCTCATCAGGGAAACTGTTATAATATCTATTTAAATCGTGCGCCATATGGTCGAGCCTCAACACGATTCTGGCCATATTGCCTAGCAGTGGGATAGGTCTGAAGTGCTTCACACCATGTTTGCTGAATCTTGAGTATACACGGCGGAAGTACAATGTAAGAGCGGCGATAAAAATCACCGTCCAAAGCAGGAGTAACATGATCTGAAAATTGATATAAATTTAATTAAAATAGCTGGTCTGGTATGAGCGTGTGATACGCGGGGATGAGGAGCATGTTTTAAATAAGGAACTAAGCATAAATGTGGATGGCTATAAAGGCAGAGGAAGACAAACGGAGACATGGATGGACTTTGTGAAAGATGATATGGCCAGAATGAGAGTGAATGCGGAAATGTCTGCGAATAGAGAAGAATGGAAGTGGAAAACAAATAATAAATAATTATTGGAGGATAGAAATATGATAATAATGATGATTACGACAATATTAAGGTTATTAACCTCTTGTAAATTTTACAATTATTATCTAAACTTACTATATCACAAAAAGGAAAAAAAATTTTTTTGTTTATAATAGATAAACTCTTAAAATAGTAAACCAATTTTATGAATTCTTTAACTAACCAGAGGGAGATTTTGTACAAACGTCATTTGCTTGTGTACCTCTGTTCCATTCGTGTTTCTACCGTGAAGCAATTGTGTTTCGGTTTAAAGGGTGAGATATAGCACTGAAGTTATAGGGCACAGAGGAATAACACCTGAATCCTCAGGAATGGTAACACATGGGAGGTATTTTGAGCGAAACAGTATACTCTGTTATGTCAATGGTACTGCTCATGTCTATAGGCGACGGTTACCATTTTCCATTAAGTGAGGCGTTAGCATAACAGAGTATACTGTTACTCCCATGATACCCCCCATGCGTTGCCATTCCTGAGGACTCAGATGTTATTCCTCTGTACCCTGTAAATTTACGCCATATCCCACCCTTCAAACCAAAATACAGCCATGCAAACACAACTGTTTCATGGTAGAAACACGAATGCGACAGAGGTATCCAAGCAATCGACTTTTGTACAAAGTCTCCCTCTGGTTATAGGTGGCCTATTCTACACACACACGCAAACATACACACACACACATACACACATACAAACGGTGTATATATTATGTATAATAAAATAAAATATAATTCAATTAGTATGTCACGAATATTTACCACAAGAAATACGTATTTTATGTCTTTTTTTAAAGAACCTTATTTGGAGTTAACACACACAGAGTAAACTAAAATAAAAAAAAAACAATATTTGTTATGTATTGTCTATATCAGAGTTCAAATAACACTGCGCAAGACTGAGTTATTGATGATAAATTTATCCAATTAATAATGTAGGTACCAAGTGACGCAATAGGCAGTGAAAAAAAATAATATGACACTGCAAACCACCGCGACGACGGACTTTTTGTTCCCGTACAAAATTGTCCTTAGAACAAAATAATTAATTAACAATAATAATAAAAAAAAAAAAACAAATAAAGTAGTTTATTTTCTTCACAATACCAGAAGTACACATCTATTATTTATTCATTATTTTTAAAGGTTACATAAGTTAATGTATTGTGAAGAACTGGTGTCTGAAGTAGGATAAACCTGTGTTACAGATCACCAGGTCCTCATCCCACGGTTTTGGCACTAATATACAATTTGCTCTAATTATGAATATAATAACATTGCTGAAGAAGGGCCAAATTAAAAGTACCCGTAACCGGCGAGCGTGTATGAAAAGATTGATGAATGTGGAAGAAGCGAAAGATGTTTGTTTGAATCGAAGCATTTGGCGTTCCATTGTTTCTGCCTATCCTAATGGGAGACAGGCGTGACAGATATGTATGTATGTATATACTTAAGGTTATATAACAGATATATCCTACATACACTTACACATTTATTTATTTATTTATTTTATTCTTTATTGCACAGTAAAATTTTGTACAAATGGCGAGCTTAATGCCATATGGCATTCTCTACCAGCTAACCATTGGGTAAAAACAGATTCTCAAATTCTTATTAACATTGTTTAGGATTTTTATTATAGTATATTATGTAGTATTATAGTATAGTTGTATAAGAGAGAGTAAAGAAATATTAAAATATTAAATTAATATTTAAACATTATAGAGACAGAGAGAGAGAAAATAAACACTTTTAGATAAAAATCATATATTTATGTTAAATGAATTGTAATATAAGTATCATTATATTATATTATAGTATCAATATTTTATATTGAATACAATTTTAATAAAGTTATTATAAATTTTCGTTATGATGTAACATATTGAACCTTGAATTTGAAATTGAATTTTTTTTTTTATTATTATTTATATTTTCTTCAGTCTTCCATTATGATCTAATCTTCAGTCGTATCCAGTGGCCTCCTTTTATGCGAACGTTGAACGACTCGGTGCTGAGCTTGGTCGGTATACATGTTTTTTCACACGGCGTCACCTTCATATGTTGTAGCAGTTGATACAACATTACTTTCACCTCGCACAGAGCGAATCTAGAACCTGTAAGTATTTTATTCTATTTACATGATACTGGTAGTTTATGTTTTAATGCATTAAAGAGAATTTGTAATACAATATATTTTTATTTAGAACAAAGGACATTAGAGGGAGACTTTGTACAAAAGTCGATTGCTTGGGTACTTTTGTCCCATTCGCGTTTCTACCGTTGTTTGCCATTCTTAATTAAGTAAAGTAATTCCTGAAGTTCTATTAAAATAAATTATAACAAAATGCGTCTTTCTGTTCAAACTTATTTAAGAAAAGACAAAATTTGGTAACTCACCAATACAATTTCTGGGTCCCAATCCGAAAGGCATGTATGAGAAAGGATGGATATTGCGTTTGTTTTCTTCGGAGAAGCGTTCAGGGTCGAACTTCGTGGGATTGGGGAAGAACTTAGGGTCCCGGTGGATAGTCCACGTCGGAATTGTGACACCTTCACCTTTTCGTATCTGCAATACAAAACGTTTTGAGGAAACTGCGTTTAATTTGTCTTGTTATATGTTAAATTTCGTCGTACGTAATTATTTATATAATACAATCACAAAAAAAAAAAATAGTAAAGAATTTTTGCTACTTTATACTGTAATTTCGAACTATTTTTATGCTATTGAAATTCAAACTTTCAGTTATAGCGTAATAAGAATCTTATTGCATGAGTAACATTTTAGTTCACTACCTAAACCTCTGTTAATTTTTTTTTTATACAACTTAGAAAAGATGTATTAATATTTATTTACAATGTAATCCTCAGTCGATTTGTTATTAGCCTTGCCCAAGTTATAATCCTTGTTGCATATTCTATCCGTGGCAATAGCTGGTGGCCATAATCGTAGTACCTCTGAAAAAAAAAAAAACATATATATTATCTGTTATATGTTATTATTTGTTTGTTATAAATATTGACTATGTAGTTCCGCCATAGAATAGACCACCTCCTCCTTTCCTGTGGGTGTCGTAAGAGCCGACTAAGGAAACGCGAGGGATGGACAGCAGCGTCCTTATTAAGACATCTCTAAGGCCTGACTGCGGTTGCCAATCCACCTACTAAGCGTGGCAACTACTGGTAAATTCCCCAAGGGGGAACCTTATATCACATTAAAAATATTACCAGTGCCTAGTATGTATATATATGAATTATGTATATTTGTAAAAACGCACCAATATTTATTTGAAATTAACTGTAACGTAATTGATTACTATCGTAGAAGATTCCCAGATAAACTGGTGTTGCCCGCAATGTCAACAACATTATATAGTGACAGCTGTTATCCAATGGCAATACGGGTATACAATAAGTTACCTTTAGAAATAAAGAATCTTCCGATAGAAAGATTTAAATCAAAGTTATTTCACAATCTCTAAGAAAAATGCTATTACACAGTTATTGAATATTTAAATGACAAAAAATATAATAAAAGATGTAACGTATTATAAAAATTACTTAAAATATAAACCATCTTATATATAAAATTCTTGTGTCATAGTGTTTGTCACCAAACTCCTCCGAAACGGCTTTACCGATTTTCATGACATTTTGTGTGCATATTCGGTAGGTCTGAGAATCGGGCAACATCTATTTTTTATACCCCTCAATGATAAGGGTGACTCACCCCTAAAAATTTTTTCTTTTTGACAAAATTTTTTATTTTTATTTAAATATGATTTAGCATTGAAAAATACATACAACTTCAAATTTTCACCCTTTTACGATCAACCCCTGTTTTTTAAGTGCGATTTTTATATTCCGCAATAGGGCTGCAAGATGCCAATCGTATATAATAATTCTAATACGATAAATTTTCATGTATAGTTCTAAAAATAATGTACATGGTAAAACAACGTCTGCCGAGTCAGCTAGTTATAATATATAATAATTTGACATAAAGAATATTGCAATTTGGAAAATGTTTGGTCTTTATAATTGTAATATAATGTAGACTAATAATAATAATAAACTCTTTATTGCGCACAATAGAGATGTATACAAGGAGTATTTATACAGAATGTGCACATACAAAAGGCGGCCTTATCGCTAGAAGCAATCTCTTACAGACAACCTGGCATAAAGAATGGATAAGTAAAGAGAGGAAGGTAGATGGCGCAAGTCAGACACAGTAAATACATAAAAGGAATCAAACAAAATGCAAAATATTCTAAATATAAAAATAAGATTACAATACATAAACATACATATATAATATAAATAAAATACATAAACATAAATACAGTTTAACATTTGCATACCTGTGCGGGGTGCTGCATGTTATGTACCTGTATATGTAACTTCTTATTATACCATGTATCATGTAGCAAGCGAATAATAATAATAATAGTATTTTTTTTATTTCAAACTTTTTGGTCCATTAAATATTTATTAGTAACAATATTCTTAAAAATAATGTTACTAAATTTACATACAAAATACACATACACACACATACACACATACAATATATTAAGCATTATATATCTGTATAGATAATCACCGCTGCACAATTCCATTGGAAATTGCGCAGCAGCGATTAACGTACACACAGTGCAGCCTGCTTGCTGTCATACTCAATAAATATTTCATACTCAATAATAGAATAAATATGATTTGATTTGATTTTGATTTATATTCATCAGTGATATGATGATATGATGATGTTGATGATGAATTTATTTTTATGAAATCATGTTTTCTCACCGATACAAATCAAATGCATATCCTCACCTGAAACTACCATGTCCATGTATTTCATGTTTTGAATCGAATTGTAATCAAACTTGCCGCCATTTTTTATCTCATTCTCTTTGATCTCCTGCACAAGTTTCTCTTGTACATCAGGGTTGATTGCCAACTCGTGCAGAGCGAACGCCATAGCTGATGATACAGTCTCGAAGCCGGCAAGGAAGAATAAAATTGCTTGTGCTATTAAATCACTGTCCGACCAGACTGTAGAAAATTAAATACCAGGTAATTTGAGAGACAGTGGGGTCGATTTGAGGTGTCAGTTCTATGAACCTACTTAATAACCTAACATAGAGGGAAAGGGATTGCTAGTAATGGAAATTAAAAATCTCATTGCTAGCAATATACCTATCCAGGTCGACCTCCACGCGGTTCCCCCTAAACTATCACGGTTAATTCCTCACGAATTCATCATGATGGGCTAACTGGCCTGTTTTTATTCTCATCTATCACCCTTCACTGGTGTTCTGCCAGCGTATTCCGTTAGCGCAGGCGCAGCTACCAATCCATCCAACAAAAAAAAAAAACCTAAGATAGTGATTTTTTTATGCAACATATTTTAAGTTGCAACAAGATGACTGCCCACCTGATGAAAAGTGATAACCGGCGTCTATAGACATAAACAGTACCATAGACATATCAGAGTATATTGTTTTGCCCATAATACCCCTCGTGCGTTGCCATACCTGAGGACTAAGGTGTTTATACCTCTGTAGTACCCTGTAAACTCACTGCCATAGTGATTTAGTAATTTCGTGAAATTACTGCTTCATAGACTGTTATAAATTAAATTAATAATAACATTGACTTAAAAACTAGCTGTATCACGTGACTTCGACCGCGTGAACCAGTAAGTACATAAAATATCCATTGTGCTATAATAAATAGGACCTGTGTATCAAACTCTCAAATCCGTTAAGTGATTTTTACGTGAAAGAGTAACATCTATCCAACCTTACAAAATTTCTTATTTAGAATATTAATATAATGGTTTTAAGATTGAAAATTTCGCTGCGGTATCAAATTGTTTTAATTTTACTGATAACTTAATAGATGGGTGTCTAAGAAGCAACTCCACTATCTGTCTAAATACAATTTTTTCTCCTGATAATCTGCATCGGTATATTAGCAATACTTTAAAAAAGAATCGTGAATGTAATCTGTCTAGCAATATACTCTGTCAGGTCGACCTCCACGTGGTTCCCCCTGGAAACCATAATGCTGAATTCTAAGTGTATTTTTCACGATGGGCCAACTGACCTCCCTTTTCGTTCTCACCTATCACCCCTCACTGGTGTCCCGCCAGCGTATACCGTTAGCGCAGGCGGGGTTACCATTTCATTATCATCCATTAAAAAAAATATGTATAGCTTTAAGTTTTAATTATAATTATATGTATAAACGTACGTATATAAATTTACTCTGTTGTTAAGAATTCTTAAGTTAAAGTGACTACAGATGGTGAGTGAGTGCTCAGTTTGATCCTTTGATAAATCACTATGTACCTATCATTTGTGTGATAATTTTTATAATAGTAATAAGTCCCATACCAAACTAATAATTTTACTTGTAAAATATACTTTTAGTTAATAACTTACTAAAAAGTTTCTAAACAACTAAAAAGTTGTCTTCTTTTTTTTTTATATCACTGAGGTGGCAAACAAGCATACGGCCCACCTGATGGTAAGCGGTTACCGTAGCCTATGAACGCCTGCAATACCAGAGGTATTACGCGCGCGTTGCCGACCCTGAAGAAACCTCTTTACTCCCCTTTTGAAGAACCCCATGCTGTAGTCTCTTGGGAAAACCTCGGCAGGGAGCTCATTCCATAACCTGAGTGTTCGTGGGAGAAAGCATCTCTGAAAGAGTTCTCACAAAATTTTAAACATTGTAAAGAGTAGTAATATTGGACAGAGACGAAAATGATCAATCTCCTTTTTAAAATATCAGTCAATAACGTTGCTCGAGAGTTCGTTACCTCTATCTATAACTTTCTTTCCGACCGATGACTCTTCAACGGTAGCGAATCCAGCATCCGTGTCCTGTGCGGTCTTGTCATCATATTTTAGTTTTCCTGTAAACAATGAATTTAATTAAAAAGTGGCTATAAATGGGCAGCTTTACATAATTATTACGTCATTTAAAATTTATATAAAATACCAATAAAAAAACTTACAAAACAAATAAAATGGAATAATTAAACATATAGTGATTGAAATTACAAAATAAATATTAATAATTTATAATAATAAAATAATTTAAAAAACATATCAAGCTCATAACTATGTAATGTGTAATGGGATATTATTAACGTAAAAGTCGCTTAAAGAATTAGTAACAATAATTCGCTAAAATAAGAGTCTGCATCGTTTATATATACTTGAAACTAATATTTTTGTTTTACTTATAAAAATTAAAACTTAGTCGGTATATAATTAAAGCAAAATTGTTTATGAACAAAAAAAAAACGCCAATATTTAAATAAATACATTTGTGAAATAGTAATACCCTTTTTAGCTTCCATTAAAAGATGTATCATATCTGGTCTGATGATGTTATGCTCCTCCCGATTTCTCATCGTATTCAGAACCAGATTCTTAAAAAAGCTGGTCATTTTCTCAGTGAACAATGTAAATTTTAGTTTCTGAAAATATAATATTTAAATTTATAATCATGGTTTGATTACTATTAGCTTATGATATTCCATATAGCTTGGGCAGCTTTGGCTAGAGTTTATTAAAATCCATTTACAAGATCAGTTTTTAGGATATGAAATCCTAACTGAGTTATTTACAATAAAGAAATGTTAACATTGGCCACTTTATATTTTAATCTTTTTCCGCCATTTATAATATCGATCATGTCAATAAGGCTTTTAAGGAAAGAATATTCTGAATGGCACGACTGTATTATATTTTTTTAAACATCTAAGAATACTTACCGCCATAAGTTTTGGAAAGCAGATGAAACAGAAAAATCTAAGCATTTGAGTATATTTTAAATTTGTAGCCTCTCTTCCCTTCTGATAAAATTCGTTATCTTCATCGATGTGCGAGTTTACTTTAAGCCCAAATGCACAAGAGGCGATGACGTCATTGGCATATTTAGTCGCCAAATCTTTGCTCTCAATATCGATGTAATCAACTAAATCGGGAAAGAATGACTTTAAAATCAGAGACTAGAGAAAATCTTATAAGTAATCTTTTAATCTTTTAAGTAATTACCATCTGAATCTTTGATCTTAGCTTTAAGAGCTTGTATCATTTGATCTCCAACTTCGACCATAAATGGAACCATCAATCGTATTTTTGAACTGGTAAACGCTGGACTTAAGGTTGATCGCATATCTTTCCATTCTTGGCCTAAAAAAGTCCCGATTATAGAATTATAGTTATTATAAAATTCTAAATTTAAATTAAAATAGGAATTCCTTTTCTAAACTGCATGTTGTTTTTCCTTCCTTTTTAGTTAGCAATCTATAGGTTACCTTGACAATTAGTCGTCAGTCCTCTGTATCAAATATTGGTATTATCAGATTAAAAGTAGCAGAATAAAATAATAATTTCAACGAAGCAATCATTGATATAGATTCTCGCAAAAGGACACCTAATTGAATAATTGTTAACAAATTTACAAACCTTTCAATGAAAATAAATTTCTTCCAAAGAATGGATCTAATTTTTCGTCTATGAACACTCGGTGATCTAAGAAATACTCAAAGTCTTTAATAGTGATTCTCTTTACCAAATCAAGATCTTTTATCATTATTTTGGGTGTTAGAAATTCGTAACTTCCTATAAACCTAAAGATGAAATATATGATATATTAAAACTAGTATTTGAAAAAGTTATTAGTGTACGCGGTATGCAAACATGTGTTGATGCTAGAAGGATCCTGCGGCAAATAATCGAACAAAATCTGGACGTGTATTGTTGGATGCTTCATCTATACATTACGGCGATGTACAATGATTCATTGCTAATGGTATAAATAACGTATATAATAGTAATAAAAGCGAGGATAAAAACGGCGGTGTAACTTGTTTTAGTTCTTAACAAAGATTTGTAGCGATTTGTATATTACGAACTTAGATTATATAGATAGTGTCTCCATACTAATGCTTAGAGAAAAGCGGGTCAACTTTTTCATACAATTTTGCGTAATTAATAGTTATGAGTACAACCTTTACAACTTGTATATTTATTTTGTCTTATAATTTCTACATCTTTTTAATGCGTAAATGCTTGTTTTATTTATTAAATAATTAAATATAGATACATCAAGATACATTGTATGCGTAAGTATATATAACATTGATAAAAAATATGAGTCAGCTAATTTGACAATTAGCTGACAAAAAGTTGATCCGTTTTTGAGACTGAACGCTCTATCTATATAACCTAAGATTATTAGTTAACGGAATCAATTAACAGAACATTAACTAATTCTACATTAAATTATATAAATAAAAAAAAAATTAAATTGATTATTAAAATAAAAATTCCATTATTCCCCTTTTTGTATCTGAAAAACTATTAATTAACTGATCAAGCTAGCTAGCTCGTTAACCTTTCATCAGGAAAGTTGTCGTAGAATCTTTGAAGATCATCCGTGAAGTGATTGATCCTCAGAATAAGTTTAGCCATGCTTCTCAGGCTCTCGCTGGTTTTCAAATGCTTTATATCATGTTTGGAGTATCTGGAGTGTATTTGACGAAAGTAAAGCACCAACGCTGCGACAGCCATCACGAACCAAATCAGGAACAACATAACCTAATTGTAAATAAATTGTTAGATATTAATATTCTATTTATGGTATACGTATAGATCATCATCATCATCATCATCATCATCATATCGGCTGTTATCTTTCCACTGCTGAACTTAGTCCTCCTTTATAGACTGCCATAAGGAACGGTCCTGAGCCACCTGTAGCCATCGACTCCCTGCAATGTATTTGAGGTTGTCACTCCATCCAGTGGGAAGTCCTCCTGGACTGCGTAAAGTAAATGATGATGATATAGCCGTTAATTGTCCACTACTAAATGTAGACCTCCTCCATGGAGGGTTTGAGCAGTAGTCGTCAAGCTTGGCAGGCAGGTTGGCAACCGCAGTATGGCTTTGGTGATGTTTTACGAGGGACGCTGCTGCCCATCCCTTGATCATTGGTTACCTTAGTCATCTCTTACGATACGGGAAAGGAAGGTGTGACCCATTCAATGCTAGGATCATACAGCGATATTTTGTAACTCGTAAAAATAATAAGTTAAGTATATCCATTGTTATGATGAACCAGCTAACTAACATCCATATGGTAACCCCCAGGGGTAGAACCCAAAACACTCAGATCCGAGTTAATTCAGAAATGTTCGCTTTCTAAATTGACCCGACCAGGAATCGAACCCGGGGACTTCATTTACGTAAAGCAAAGTGTCCACTATTGTACCATGGAGGTTGTCATATATTTTATTTGTTTCCAGAAGTGGTGTCTATTTTATTTCTCCAAATCATTTGAATTCCAAAAAAAAAAATATTTAAATTTCAATAAAATAACAATAGAACCAGATTAGATATACGTAAACCCAGTCGATTGTAGATTTGGAGGAAAAATCGTATGACATATATAAGAAAATAGAATACATTCGGATCATTTTTTCTATTTTAACCGGCATAAAGTGGGGGAAAGGGATTGTTAAGAATGGAGACTGAGAATCACTAGCAATGGAAGATTGCCCCCTGGAAACTATCATGGTTAATTCCTGATGAATTTATCATGATGGGCTAACTGGCCTGTTTTCATTCTCATCTATCGCCCTTCACTGGTGCTCCGCCAGCGTATCCCATTAGCGCAGGCGGAGTTACCGTTACCATACCATTTTCACCCATAAAAAACGGACATAAAGTATAGATGGTTTAATTTTTTTTTTATTGATATCTCATACCTTCCTTAGTTATAAATCGATATAGAAAACTTTTCTTTCATCTCAAAAGATATACATTCAGATTAATTTTTAAATTATGGTTTTGCTTAACAAATGGCTCAATTATAAGTAGTTTTTTTTTGTGGGACACAATCTTAAATTATTAAGTTTATATTCATTTATATTGATTAAATGTAGACAGATATACTAATTCACAATAAAATATGACCGTTAAAGGGTCAATGTTTACTTTATCACCTATTTATCTCAGTGAGTTCATTTACACATAACTGCGCACTACTTTGATGACTTAAGGCCAAGTACATTATAGCGGGTATTATGTCATCTGTGGCCAAGGTCATCGAGCCGAAGTACCTCAATTTAAGAATTCATTGTGTCAATTTTGTTCGTTAAACAAAATGCAATTTTGCTTCTACGCCAGAGCAGACACTGAGTAGCATGTATCCTTAGATTATATAGATAGAGTGTCTCCATAAAAATGCTTCGAGAAAAGTGGGTCAATTTTTTCATACAATTTTGCGTGATAAATAGTTACGAGCGATTAATTTTTTTTTTTTTTACAACACAGGGGGCAAACGAGCATGCGGCTCACCTGATGGTAAGTGACTACCGCCGCCCATGATCACCCACAACACCTACGGCATTGCAGGTGTGCTGCCGGCCTTTTAAAAAGAAATATGCTCTTTTCTTGAAGGTTATGTTGTCATATCGGTTCGGAAATACTGCTGCTGGAAGTTGATTCCAAAGAGTGGTTGTGCGTGGGAGAAAGTGCCTTGAAAAACGCACGGTGGAGGACCGCCACTTGTCCAGATGGTTGGGATGAAATTTTAGTTTATGGCGGGTTGTACGATGGTGAAAATCTGCAGCAGGTATCAATCCGAACAATTTTTCAGAGCACTCCCCATGATAAATTCGGTAGAAAATGCACAGAGATGCAACATCTCTACGCAGTTCCAGTGGGTCGAGCCGGACAGTAAGACGCCGATCGTCAACAATTCGAGCTGCCCGACTTTGAATGTGGTCTAACGGAAGGAGTTGGTACTGTGGCGCTCCTGCCCACAGGTGAGAACAGTATTTCATGTGTGGCCTCACTTGAGCTTTATATAGTTTCAGGCGGTTTTCTGGCGTGAAATACCGTCTCACCCTATTGAGCACCCCCAACTTTTTGGAAGCTATCTTAGCTTTTTCCTCCAGATGACCGCAAAACTGGACGTCGCTAGATATATCGACGCCAAGAATCCCCAGACTCGACTTATTATCGAGGGAAGTGCCCCGAAAGTAAGGAGATATATATTATAACTTCCATATTTATTTTGTCTTATAATTTCTAGATCTTTTTAAACCGTAATAACCTATTTTATTTATTAAATAATATGTCAAGATGGAATGTATGTGTAAGTATATAGAAACTGTTAGAAAAACGAGTCAGCTAGTTTGACAGTTAGCTGACAAAAAGTTGACCCGTTTTTTAAACTCGATTTTTTTTATACAACTTAGAATGGCAAACAAGCTGACGACCCACCTGATGGAAAATGGTAGCCGTCGCCTATAGACATGAGCAGTACAATGGACATAACAGAGTATACTGTTTCGCCCATGATACTCCCCATTCGTTCATTCCTAAGGACTCAGATGTGATTCCTCTGTACCCAGTAAATTTACGCCATATCCCACCCTTTAAACCGAAACACAGCCATGCAAACACAACTGCTTCACGGTTGAAACACGAGTATTTGGCTGTGTAGTAAATTATATGCTATTAAATGGATGGCCATGAATGATCCGCGACGGAAGTTCAGTTTCAGAAGGCAGTCATGCGGCTCTTGCATTTTCTAACATATAGAGGCTGTAATTTGTTGAGGTTTTAAATTTTTTCTTATCACACACAAAGATAAAATATAGCTATTTGTTTATTAAATAAAATAGCCCATATTACTCCTTGTAATAGATTTTCCCAAATGAAGACATAGATAAAAAAAAAAATCCTTGTTTTTTTTCAATGTCCTGTACAAGGTTGTCTGGAAGAGATTGCTTAGCGAAAAGCCCGCCTTTTGTGTCACTACTTATTAAAATTTACTGTATTTATTAGTGGCGCAATAAAGTGTAAGTAAATACTTATTTAAGTATCTATTTATATAAGTATTTACTTATTTACTTAAGTAAATAGGCCACTCCTTTCTTTCCCGTGTGTGGAAACTACTAACAAAACCCTCTAACACCAAGGGAAAAAGGGATTGTTAGTAATGGAGACTAAGAATCCGATTGGAAGCAATATACCCAACCAGGTCGACCTCCTCGCGGTTCCGCTTGGAAACTATCACGGTTAATTCCTGATGAATTCATCATGATGGGCTAACTGGCCTGTTTTCATTCTCATCTATCACCCTTCACTGGTGCTCCGCCAGCGTATCCCGTTAGCGCAGGCGGGGCTACCATACCATTTCCACCCATCAAAAAAAAAATAAACAAACCCTCTAACGCTCCCTTAATCTTATGTTCAACAGTGGACAGCTAAAGGCTGAAATAAAGATAATTAGAAGTATTGGGATGCGAAGTTGATAATACTCACTGGAGACCAAGAATATTATTTATTTATTATATTTTTATAGTAATTATTGTCAATTCACTAACACAAATAACAATCAAGTAATCAAGTGTGTTACGCTGTCTGACGATCGTTACAGTACGAACAACACTGCGTACTGTCGTAAACAAGAACCAAGGTGACTTATTAGACCAGGGATTGTCAACTTTTGTATTAGATATATATAGCTAACTTCATTACGAATAAATGAAACAAAATTAATGAGTACAAAAAAATATCGTGCCATCGATCAAATTGTTTATAATTACTCCTCTCTATCCAAAGATTGCCCGAAAGATATTGCTTTTAGCGATAAGGTCGCCCATTGTTTTCTCATTGTGATCATCTCTTGTAATTGTTTATATTTATAATAAGTTTACTATTGTAATCTTTTGAAGGAAACAATAAAGAGTATCTATTTATCTATCTATAAAGAGGGTGATCCTCTTTTAGGATACTATTAAAAGAGTTTTTTTTGTAAAACTAAAACTTTATAATGGCTTTACTGACTTTTACTGAATTAAATGTTATTTTACAGAAGTCTATATCATTGGCTAGTTGATTAGAATTATTTTGTTTAATTCCGCTACTATTAGTATATGTGTGAAAACTAGCAAACTGGCTGGCGAACAGTCAACGCTACGTAGACTCCAAACAGCGATTTATCAATTGCCTGATGATGCATCATTTAGAGTTGAGACACAAATCGCAACCTAAGAACAATATAGACTATCTACTATCTTTTATAAACATGCAATAAGTTAGAAGTGTAATTTCAATGACTATAATTTTTTTATTTCAAAAGGGATAAATTGTAAGAATTTGAAATTAAAATTTCGCCGGAATTTAAACAATTTTTAGGCTAGAGTAAATATTGACTTATTTATTTATTTATTGAATCTTTAATAAACAGTAAAATTCTATGTACATTTAACGGACTTAACACCGGACGGTGTTCTTTACCAGTCAAAAAAGATAGATACCTTATTTCTCTTTGGACAAAAAGAGAAATAAGTAGTTATTAAATAGAGGAAAAATAAAACAATCGGTACTTATGTATATTGCGACATTTATTTTAAATCTTTTTCTGAATACTGCCCCATCTTTTAAGGGTATATAATATATATTTTTTTACGAATGATAATAAAAAAATATATAAATATTTAATTGTAAACATTTAAAATATGGCTAAGTTCTAATTTTTAATCGTATCCAATGGCCTCCTTTGATACGAACAGATAAAGTTTTGTTCTCGATCTTTGTTGGTATACATGTTTTCTCACACGGAGCCACTTCAAAATTTAGTAGTAGTTGGTACAATAGTATTTTCACTTCACATAGAGCGAATCTTGAACCTGGCGAATGAAAACATGATTGAAATATACAAATTAATGTCCTGGATCATTCATAATTATTAACATCGTTTTCGAGGAGTGTTCTATCAGTGGAAATGAACATTTTTCTTCAAAAACCATAGGTCTAAAAAGGACACAATATTTTGAGCGATCCATACAAAAAATACCATGACTTCTATTGTTAAAATAAAAAAAAAAGTAGGAAATGAATATCACTTACCAATGCAGTTTCTGGGGCCCGCTCCGAATGGCAAGTACGAAAAAGGTTTGATTTTGTGTTTGTTTTCTTCAGAGAATCGTTCTGGGTCGAATTTTAAGGGATCCTCAAAGTACTGAGGATCTCGGTGTATTGCCCACGTGGGGATCCCAATATTTTCACCTTTGCGTATCTGGACATAAATGTTATCTTTTTAACGGATATCAAAAAGAAGATTTTCGATTTGGATGTAATTTTTACGTTTCTTACGTCATAACTCTATCAGTTCTAAACCGATTTGGAAAATTCTTGTTTTATCTGAAAGGATATACTTCCAGATTGGTCTCATAGAAATTTTGTTAAAGTCGGTTTAATAGTTTAGTTTTTAGATCAAAATAACAGGGTTTATCACAATAGAAGCAGTTTTTTTTGTGGAGCACAATCTTTATTTGTTTATGAAAATATTTGATTTTATAATTTCCTATTGTTGTCAAGTGGGTAGTTATTGGAAGATTTAGAATAGTTTACTTGTACTTCTTAGGACATCAAACAATCTAACAGCCCATATAGCGGTAAATGATCAGTGACTTTAGATAAGATCGACATACACATGTGAGGCTTTAAATCCAAATACAGCCAAGCAAGTACAAATGCTTGACAGCAGAAACATGAATAAGACAGGAACACTTATAAAAAAGTTGCCTAAACTTTTGTCATCTTCATCTGGATTATACCAAATAATATTCATTATCTTCTCATTATATAACATTTTGCTAACTTACCAACATAAATTTTTACTTATATGCCTGCTTTGTTTATGTTTTTTTTTTGTTATTAAATAATTATGCTCCTATCTATGACTAAGTTCTTCTTTAAAAAGCAAGAAAAACAGCAGTGAGGTTACTAGATTTGAATACAAAAAATTTTAAACCTTACGAGTGGTTATGAAGATAAATAAAATAAAGGCAATGTTTTAGATGCTCTTAGTTTTGTAGACGTTAGTGCTTAAATTACTTACCGTATTCGATATATTTGCCACTTCTATATAGGTCTTGAGCATTTTAAGTGTTCTTTGTTTAATCTGAAGTGTTTTACCATATATTAGCCGTTATCTGTCGACTGCTGAACATAGGCCTCCCTATAGACTGCCATAGAAACGGGATCATTCCTTATAGCAGTTTAGTTGGCATTCTTAGTTTGGCTTTGATGCTGTTTTAAGACGGACGCTGCTGCCTATCCCTCAACCATTAAGTCGCCTCTCACAACATCAACGAGAAAGCAAACGGTGGCTCAACTTACGCTTGAACCACATGGCATAGAACACACACACGGCGATACAGTATTTTTAATACTTACAATATAATCTTCCGTTGCTTCGTTATTAGGTTTGCCCAAGTTATACTCCTTGATGCATTTTCTATCAAGTGCCGGAGCCGGTGGCCATAATCTAAGTACCTCTGAATAAAACAATCAATTCACTGAGTTGGATAAATTAGTATTTTCCTAATATTTACTAAAAGGTGAAATTATTATATTATTCATGTTTCTACAGTGAAGCAGTTGTGTTTGCATGGCTGCGTTTCGGTTTGAAGGGTGGGATATGGCAGTGAATTTACAGGGTACAGAGGAATAAAACCTGAGTCCTCAGGAATGACAACGCATGGGGGTATCATGGGCGAAACAGTATACTCTGTTATGCCCATGGTACTGTTCATGTCTATAGGCGACGGTTACCACTTTCGATCAGGTGGGCCGTCAGCATGTTTGCCATTCTAAGTTGCATAAAAAAATTATATTATTTAAAAATGGATCTTCTAAATGAAACTTGTCATGATGGTTTATGGAGAAAGTTTCAAACTATTGTATCTATCAAAAATATCGTCATTTATCGACGTATCTTAATGTTGCTATTTATTTTTTCGTCAAAAGAGTGGATCATACGATAGGATTATGTGATAAGATATGATAATTTTGACATCGTTAGAGTTTTTAAAGTATATTTGATAACTAGATAATTATAGACGTTCAATAACCGGATCTTTAGTGTGACAAATAGCTTGAAGATTTGATAAATTTGTTTATATGAGATAAAGCAAATTACTTAAGTAGATTTGCACTATGAAAGCTATGAATTGAGAAATAATAATTATACTTCCAAAAGATTAATACTGAATAAGTAATAACATTATTAAGGTAGCTTCACCAGATTTATTAAATTAATAAATAAATAAAAGAATAAATATGAAAAAATAAACATTAAACCTGAATCGGAACATTACAAAATATTTTCAGTCTTTCATACTAACACGCCGCTTTTAACAATCGACTCAGGATGAAGGGCTCCAAATTTTTTGCCTTTTTCCATGTGTATGTTTTTTGAGAAAAATATTCTTTTTACGCGGTAGAAAACCCCTTTAAAAGAAGGGGAGGTGGAGTGGGGTACTAAAGATTTTGATTTCATAGATAGAAGTTTACAATATAAACGCTAGATCCATACACAATATTCTACACTATAAGATTATGGAGAATATTCTTACCTGAAATTACCATATCCATGTATGTCATATTCTGAATTGACTTGTAGTCAAATTTGCCATCATTTTTAAAATCATTTTCTTTTATCTCTTGCACTAGTCTCTCTTGTATGTCAGGATTTAAAGCCAATTCGTGCAAAGCGAATGACATAGCAGTAGATACAGTTTCAAAGCCGGCGAAGAAAGCTTGTGCGATTAGGTCGTTGTCCGACCATACTGTTGGACAAAGTTATTCTTAATTATAATCTTGAGATGATAAAGGTACTACAATATTTAGTGTAACTATTTTTTTAAATATGTCAATACAATATCTATGAAAATATGATTTGCTATGTGATTTCGGCTTAGAATGGGCCACCCATTCCTTTCTCGTGGGTAACGTAAGAGATGACTAAGGGAATTTGATGGTCGAGAGATGGGCAGCAGCGTACTTCTTAAAATAGTCTAATTGCGATTGCCAAGTGTGGCAACTACTGGCAAAAGCCCCAAGGAGGAGGTCTATGTTCTACAGTGGATAGTTAACGTATGATCGATTTATTTATTTATTTTACACTTTATTGCACCACTTAGAAAATATAATGATTCATTTCCAACTTTTTTAATACTGAATAATGCAGAAACTTTGTTGAAATATATATTATTATCGTTATGTCAGCTGTTATCTGTTCACTTCTTCTAAATATAGGCCTTCTTCATAGACTGCCATAAGGAGCAAATCCGAGTTACCTGCATCTACTGACGAACATTTTACATCAAATGCCATAATGTGTTTGAATTCGTAACCCCGTGCCTGTACATAATATAAAGTATTATAATTACCTCTATTTACAGCTTTCTTTCCTACAGCCGATTCTTCTACAGTAGCAAAGCCAGCGTCAGCATCTTTTGCGGTCTTGTCATCGTATGTTAGTTTTCCTGTATCAAATCCCAAAATTTGGACACTTTAAATATTTCGTGCATTACATATCGTTAGCCTATGTTCCACGTGTATCTTTTCGGGCTCTGATATACGTTTTTGGCTTGGTTCCCGGACTGTTTAGCTGTTTTCCGTAATGATTTAAGAAATAAATACTTCTGAAATTTAGCTTGCATCTGGAAGTTCTGAGTGTGCTTTTTTTTTTATACAACTTAGAATGGCAAACAAGCTGACGGCCCACCTGATGGAAAGTAGTACCGTCGCCTATAGATATGAGTAGTACCATGGACACAACTGAGTACGCCGTTTCGCCCATGATACCCCCCATGCGTTGCCATTTCTGAGGACTCAGGTATTATTCCTCTATACCCTGTAAATTCACGCCATATCCCACCATTCAAACTGAAACACATCCATGCAAACACAATTGCTTTACGGTTGAAACACGAATAGGACAGACGTACCCAAGCACGCGACTTTTGTACAAAGTCTCCCTCTGGATATTTGTTACATGGCTCTTCATAACAGGGTATCCTGATTTAGAATCTTGATATGATTGTATGACATTCGTTATCATTATAAGGTAATGATTGGTTATTAAAAAGTGTAAATATTATAGAAATAGAAAATAACAGCAAACCTTTCTTAGCTTCCATTAGCAGATGAATCATGTCAGGTCTGATAATGTTATTCTTCTCTCGATTCATCATTGTACTCAGAACTACATTTTTAAAGAAGTTCGACATTGATTGAGGAAAAAGGGTATAGTTAAATTTCTGAAATTATAAACAATATTTATTGGATTCTATTTTATTCTTTATTATATGATCTTAGCCCGGTCTCGGTATAGAATGGGCCACCTCTTCCGTTTCTCGTGGGTGACGTAAAAAGCGACTAAAGGAATTTAATGGGGATAGGCAGCAGCGTCCCTCTTAAAGCTTCACCAAAACCTGACTGTGGTTGCCAACCCGTCTGTCAAACGTGGCAACTATTGGCAAATAGCTGAACCCTCGCCTTCTTTTAGTTGGTTCTTACGACACCCATGGAAAAGACATGGGTGGCTTACTCTACGCCGGAACACACATGGTAATTACAATTTAATTAAGCAACGAATTAAACAGTAACTATAAACATTCATTGATTTGCATAAAGATTTTCTGTTAATTATATAATATAATATATACAGATATAATTTCACTTACCGACAGAAGTTTTGGAAAACAGAAAAAACCAAGAAGCTTGAGCAGCTGAGTGAATTTAAACGTAGTAGCTTTTATTCCATTCAGATAGAACTCATTTTCTTTGTCCATATGTGAGTTTACTTTAAGCCCAAATGCACAAGAAGCAATGACGTCATTGGCATATCTGGTGGTCAAGTCCTTAGCATCGATATCAATGTGGTCAACTGGATAGAAAATACACATATTGATAAATTGTAAGCATAGAAGGCAGATGCCAATAGCATGGTGATAACAATAGCAGTTCTCTTTTTGATATTTTTGTATTTATTAATATTGTATTGTTTTAAAAATAAACTCATGTTTAATTGATAATGTAACTTTCTTTAGGTGAAAGAAAGAAAGAAGAATTAAAATTGGTCAAACATTTTTTTGTGATTATTTATTATAAACAATAAAATCAAGCATTTCCTTATTACAATATTAATTTATTTAATATTTATCTTTTTTATCATTTAGTATGTTAATTTTTAAACACGTCTCTGCACACCTATTTAATGCTCTTCGATTCATATTAATACTTTCATTTCTTTTAATGGAATATTAACAATTAAAAATATTTACCTCCTGAATCTTTGATGTTAGTTCTAAGAGTCTGAATCATCTGATCGCCAACTTCAACCATGAGCGGAACCATCAGTCCTATTTTCGAACTCGTGAACGCTGGACTCAATGTCGATCTCATATCTTTCCATTCTTGACCTATTTATTTATAAAATGCCATAATGCAAAAGTAACTTACAATCTCTTTTTTGTTTAATAGAATAAAATCTAAGTCTCCCCCATAAACTGCCATAAGAAATTACAGTGCATTTGAGATCGTTGCTCCATCTAGTGAGGAGTCGTCCTATACTGCATTTGCCTGTACAGGATTGTCACTTAAGAACCTTTTTTCCCCATGTTGGTTTTTCCAGATATATAACCAACCCAATACTTATTTAGCTTACTTATCTTTCAAGCTATGCCCGTGGTCGGCAATAAAGAAGCAGGTATATAGGTATTAATTACCTGCAAAAACCTTTCATTGTGTTAAGTCCCGATAGTGTATCTAAAGTATGTCTGTTGATTCTTCTGCGGATATATATATATATATATATATATATATATATATATATATATATATATATATATATATATATATATATATATATATATATATATAATGTAAATTTCAGTTACTTTACAACAATCAAGGTTACAAATATCAACAAATAGAATAAAAATACGTACCTTTTAAAGAGAATAAGTTTCTTCCAAAGAATGGGTCTACTTTTTCATCAACAAACCCCTGGTGATCCAGAAAGTGTTCGAAGTCTTTGATTGTTATTTTCTTCACCAATTCAAGATCCCTTATGAATATTCCTGTATTCATAAACACGTATTTTCCTACAAACCTGAAAATAAAATAGTAGAATTTGATGTTAGGACTTCCTATCTTTTAGATATATTAATATGATTCAGATACTATTATTATTTGATATTTTAGTTCACTGCCATAGTACCATATGAATTGTTAGTAGCTGTTAATATTTTAAAACTACTTAAAAAAATATGAGGTTCTCAAGTCTGTTTTATTTTTATTTCTTTTCTTATGTTAAGATTCTAAATTCATGCTTTTATTGCAATTGTACTTTTACTTTTGATTCATAATCGGATTATTTTTTTATTTAAAAAAAAAGAAATAGTAAAACGGTTCATCTTTTCAATTAAAAGATATTTAATTTTATGAAGTCTTAAAATGTTGTAACATTAAATTTAATTTTACTGTAACATCAATATTTAATAAGGACAATAAATACCGTATCAATCAAATCAAAGAAACAAACCTCTCTTTCGGGAAGCACTCGTAGTATCTAACGGTATCATCAATGAAATTGTCAATCCTGAACAATATTCTGGCCATGTTCCCCAGGATTGGAATAGGCTTGTAGTGTTTCACGCCATATTTTGAGAATCTGGAGTATAGGTTGCGAAAGTACAGCGTCAAGATTGCGACAATTGCCACGGTCCAGATGAGAAACAGCATTGTCTGGAAAATATACGACTGATTTAAAAGCATAATAGAAAGAAAAGATAAAGGGCAAAAGAAGAAGAGGAAGACCGAGGATTAACTACATGGGACAGATAAAGGAAACACTAGGCGTTATGTCGTATAGGGAGATAAAGGATATGGCCTGGGATAGAGCTGGCTAGAGGAAGATGCATGAATTAGTTGCACCGACAAGAGGAAACTCTTAAATGAAAAGAAGAAGGGTATATTGTTAGCAATCAATGCTATTACTAACAATCCTTATCCTCCCTAATTACGGTGTTATGCCTGCGTACCCTCTAATTTCACTGCTATATCTCATCCTTCAAACTGAAACACCCATGCAAATATAGATGCTTCAAACGTGAGTAGAATAGTGGTACCTAATAAGACGACATTTGTACAGTCTCTGAGTAAAGATATAAATGTATTTTATTGTGGTTTGGTCATTTGAAGAGGATGGATAAAAGAAGAATTACGAAAGAGATTTATGGAGCAAGAATGAATGAAGATGTCGGTAGGGGCCGCCCTAGACGGACGTATGTTGACCAAATAGGCGACGTGCTGAAGAAGGGCCGAATTAAAAGTACCCGTAACCGGCGAGCGTGTATGAAAAGATTGATGAATGTGGAAGAAGCGAAAGAGGTTTGTTTGAATCGAAGCATTTGGCGTTCTATTGTTTCTGCCTACCCTAATGGGAGACAGGCGTGACAAATATGTATGTATGTGTTTTAATTTTTTTTTTGCAGTAATTTTAAATTCTCTTCGACAATTTTAATAATTTCACTAACCCGTACATGAATAGGTATAGCACGAATAGTGAGGTTACTCTTGGAATAAATTCCAATAGATCGTTACTGGAATTGAGACATTAACGGTTCCATATTATTTTGTTAGATGCATATTAGTGTAACTTGTCAAGTCTGGGGAAAGAGATTATTAGTAATGGGGAGTTTAGTCCCCATTGCTATCAATATGCCCTATCGGGTCGACCTCCACGCGGTTCCCCCTGGAGACTACCGTGACTAATTTATCGTTGAATTCGTCACGATGGGTCAACTAACCTGCTTTATTATCCACACTTATCACCTCTCACTGGTACCCGGCAGAGTATACCGATAGCGCAGACAGGGTTACCATGCCATTTTCACCCATTAAAAAAAACTTGTCAAGTCTTGCAAACCTATCTCAATTCTAACCTAATTTCTAATTGTTAGTACAAAATTGTCATTTTTAATATGTAGATTGGATTGACAATGATATTACATTCGAGAGAAGATTTGCTGATAAGATTTGAAAAAAGATTTATATGTAAAAAAAAATGTATAATAATTATTTTCCGGGTTCGATATAAGTAATAATCATAAAAAAATATTGACAATGAACGGTATAGTCACCTCTTTAGATAAACATAGCGACTACATAGCAAACATACAAATTATCAGACTGTACGAATAGGTGATCCTGCATTCTGTATTAGAATAATCAACGGCTAATTTAAGCTCAAGGTCTGTGAGTACTATTCAACCAGCGCTCGGAAATTCGGAACAATTTGAGCGAACTATTTTATTCCAGGAGATTTTTAATTAATCAGTAAATTATATTATATTTTAAATTATATTTTTATTTTCTTTGACGTTTTTATTTTTCTTATTTACTTTACAATGGTTGGTTGGATTTAAATGAAATTATCTATTATAAAAACCGGTAGACGTTTCATTATTTATTTTTCTATCATAATTCAGTTTCAGAATAGAATTTAATTAAATTACTTATACAAATGGGTGTGTCTTTCTAATGTTTCTGTTCAATACTGCATACATTTAGTAATTAGTAATTAATATACGTTTAATAATTTACACGTACAATTCTTACTGATAGATGGCGTTTTTTTTTAGAAAAATAAACGTCTACATTACACTAAAAAGACTTCAATTATATATATATATATATAATTTCGTAGAAAAGCAACTGAACATATACTATACTATAGTATATATATATATGTATATATATATATATATATATATATATATATATATATATATATATATATATATATATATATAAATTTAAATAAAAAAAATATATACAAAAGTTCAATAACAAAATTATAACACCTACACGCCTGTAGTACCTAGGACAACATTATTGAAATATTTTTTACTTACAATTTATTTTAATGGTTCCATCAATTAATTACAATAAAATCACTTCAGTTCTCATTGTAACACAAAATAAACATACTTCAGTGTTGCCACAGACAATGATTTACTACGTAATATTACGTTATAATATTCCGTGGTACGAACGAGACCGGTTATGTCCGACACTGTGTGCACACTACTGCTCGTTTGACGTAGTTTGTTGATACTAAAATATCAATATGTGTAAATAACTAACAGATAAGTGGGTAAACACAATTTGGCACTATTTTTTGTATATGGTAATATATTTTGTTTACTCGTAGCAACAAGTGGACGTGATAAAAATATAAAAATACATACTCTTATTATATTATCCGAATTTTCGACAGTTTAAATGGACAATCAAGCCTTATTGACACTTCCACAATTAACAAAAAAAACTTACAAAATTAATGAAGCAGTTTAATGATATTTTTGAATGATTATTTAAAAAACATATTACTTTTAGTTAAATTAACTGAGATTGTCTGTAGTCAACATGTTCCCTTTTTTTATACAACTTAGAATGGCAAACTAGCCGACGGCCCACCTGATGGAAAGTGGTAACCGTCGCCTATAGACATGAGCAGTATCATGGACATAACAGAGTATACTCTGTCACCTATGATACCATTCATGCGTTGTCATTACCGAGGACTAAGATGTCACTGACTCATCTCAAACAGTCACACACGGAAGTAAAAGGGCTTTAGAGTTAGAAAATAATCGTTAAAATCGGTTCTGAGTTGGTAAACATACATTTTGGAAGACGTATAATGGTCATTGTAAATAATAAACAAATCAGTATACAAAAAGTTTAATTAATTATTAAAATAACACTAATTTCTCTTATTATATCTATTTTCTGTTTTTCATTCGTATCCAGTGGCCTCCTTTGATGCGAATGTTGAACGACTCGGTGCTGAGCTTGGTCGGTATACATGTCCTCTCACACGGCGTCACCTCCATATGTTGTAGCAGTTGATACAGCATCACTTTCACCTCGCACAGAGCGAATCTTGAGCCTGGAAGAACAAAATAAGAAAACTTTTTAAATAGAGACATGATAATTATCATTTTTATAAGTTCTAGGTGCTATTCATATTTTAAGGGACAATTTCTTACATTAAGATTGAGGACTTTAGCTGTAGCTAGTTATCTAACAAAGTTGTATAAAAAAATAATATACGAGGCATCATCATCATTATCGTCATGCAACCGTTAACTGTCCACTATTGAACATAGGCTTCCCTCTTGAGGAGATTTGCCAGTAGTTACCATACTTGGCAGGAAACTTGGTAACTACAGTTAGGTTTTTGGTGATATTTCAAGTATGATACTGTTGCCCGTCCCTCGACCATTAAGTTTTCCTTAATAACCTCTTACGACACTCGCAGAAAAGGAAGGGTTGGCCGTTTCTATGCTGGGACTACATGGTATAATTAGTTAAATATTGTAAATAAATATGCCATAGAGTCAATTGTTATTCGTTTCCCCAAAGCTGGTTCCACTATTAAAAAAAAAAAATTAACTTACCAATACAATTTCTGGGGCCGAGTCCAAATGGCATGTATGAGAACGGTTGTATTTGATGTTTGTTTTCTTCAGAGAAACGTTCAGGGTCAAACTTCATGGGGTTTGGAAAATAGTTAGGGTCCCGATGGAAACCCCAACTAGGTATTCCAACAGTTTCGCCTTTGCGTATCTAAAAAAAAGTAAATTAAAAATAACATTTCTAAAATAATATGAGATCTATGGTTATTCTATTTTATGTATAAATTTGAAACAGTTATTTTTGTGATAAGAGCCTCTATAATTCGTAATGAGAGAGTCGTAGAAGAGTAAATTGAAATCTATTTTACGCGCTTAGCCTCTCATTTGGGCCATTGTGCTTATAAGTCATGCCTGTTACAGCCAGCCCAGCTCCGCCCAGAAGCACATAAGCTTCCTGGGATCTTCACAGATCTTATGGAGCTTCACATTCGAGGATTACGTTAACAGCCCTTTCTTCAACGTAAAAACAATCTTGATGTAAAAAAGTTTTATGATAGTCTTACTTCTTCTATGAAACAGCAATCGTATCTCTATGTTTCGATATATATAATAACAATTTTCGAGTCGTATATTGCATTGATCTTCTTAGCTAGTACAATCTCTGATACAGAATATTATAATATGTTATTTCTTAGATTTGGTAACACAAGAGGAGTAGTAGTAGTAAAGTAGGCAATAAGATATGATTTGAAATTTATTGCACATGATGTTCATACTACAGTACTATGTTACTATGTGTAGGTATGTTTAGGTAGAAGAAAACAATAATCAAAGATAGTTCAGAAGATCAAACCAATGTTTTTAACAAAATAGTGTTTATTACTGTCTGTGAAAAATTTAGCTTCAATATAAATAATAATTCGATAAAATCATTCAAAGTTATAAATATACTTACAATATAATCTTCGGTTGCTTTGCTGTTGGGTTTGCCCAAATTGTAGTCTTTAACACACAATCTATCCAAAGCGATTGCTGGAGGCCATAATCTGAGGACCTCTGAAAAGAATAAACATTTTATTTAGTCGGAGACACAAATTAAAAAGTAGTAGAAGAAGAAAGAAGAAAGACTAAAACGACTAGTAAACTAGTAAAGACTAGTACGACTTTAATCGTGAGAGAAAATAAATTATATACACTCCTCGCAAAAATTAAGGGAACATAAAAATTTTTGAAATTTTTGGGTGATTTTCAACAGGCTGTATTTCAGTGAAAAATAATCGTACAGGAAATTTAAAAAAAGGGTTTCGAAGCTTGAAAACTCTAGTTTTCAGATTTTTTGGTGAAAAAATTTTTTGAGCTCCGGTTTCCATGCAATTCTTAAACAAAGCTGAAAATATTTTTTTTCTAAATTTTCTAGGTTTCGTTTTTCACTCTATGGGCATTGAAAAATTTTTTCGAGCTATTCCATTGTATAGGTCTCTTAGCGTGTTTATTCAGCTTCAAAAATCGCTTTGGATGGCTCAATTACGACCATTTGTCTCCGAGATATCGAACTTTGAATGCAAAAGCATCCTTTTCCATTCAACTGCTAATATCTCTGGAACTACTGGTCGCACAGCAAGCAGGCGCCGAGTTTCTTTATCTGCATAAAATTTCCAATTAAGCACAGTCAAGAGTTAGTGAAGAAAAAATTTTTTTTCCACCTCTAACATTGAATTGAAAAAAGTGGAAAAAAGTGACTTTTTCTCCTTTTTTGGTTACTTGGCTGTATCTTCGCTAATATGGGCGGGAAAGCTAAGGTTTGAGGAAAATTTTACAGTCTATTGTTCCTTAAAGAACCCCCTAAATCCCTGGAGCGATCGGTTCAACGGTTTTTCCCGGACCAATTGATTGAAATTTTGGAAAAAATAAGGGAACAAGGTTTTTGTCCCTTAAACTCACCCTAATCCATTCAAAAATCAATAATTTCATTTGTTTTTCACTTTTTACTCAATTTTTTGTTTTTTAAAGATTCATTATCAAAAAAAAATCGAAAAAAATCAAGAAAATTTTTAAGAAAAATTTTTTTTTGAAAAGTCGAAAAAAGTTTACAAAATTTTTTTTTTCGTTTTTAAGGAAATTAAAGTTTTGATAAAAACTTTGATTGATAATCGATTTACCGCCGGCATTAGCGTTACCCAAAGCATACCACGTGGAGGTTGCACGGTCGGATTTACGCTTCTTTTGTGCTTACGCACGTCACAAAAAAATTTTTCTTAAAAATTTTCTTGATTTTTTTCGATTTTTTTTTGATAATAAATTTTTAAAAAACAAAAAATTGAGTAAAAAGTGAAAAACAAATGAAATTATTGATTTTTGAATGGATTAGGGTGAGTTTAAGGGACAAAAACCTTGTTCCCTTATTTTTTCCAAAATTTCAATCAATTGGTCCGGGAAAAACCGTTGAACCGATCGCTCCAGGGATTTAGGGGGTTCTTTAAGGAACAATAGACTGTAAAATTTTCCTCAAACCTTAGCTTTCCCGCCCATATTAGCGAAGATACAGCCAAGTAACCAAAAAAGGAGAAAAAGTCACTTTTTTCCACTTTTTTCAATTCAATGTTAGAGGTGGAAAAAAATTTTTTCTTCACTAACTCTTGACTGTGCTTAATTGGAAATTTTATGCAGATAAAGAAACTCGGCGCCTGCTTGCTGTGCGACCAGTAGTTCCAGAGATATTAGCAGTTGAATGGAAAAGGATGCTTTTGCATTCAAAGTTCGATATCTCGGAGACAAATGGTCGTAATTGAGCCATCCAAAGCGATTTTTGAAGCTGAATAAACACGCTAAGAGACCTATACAATGGAATAGCTCGAAAAAATTTTTCAATGCCCATAGAGTGAAAAACGAAACCTAGAAAATTTAGAAAAAAAATATTTTCAGCTTTGTTTAAGAATTGCATGGAAACCGGAGCTCAAAAAATTTTTTCACCAAAAAATCTGAAAACTAGAGTTTTCAAGCTTCGAAACCCTTTTTTTAAATTTCCTGTACGATTATTTTTCACTGAAATACAGCCTGTTGAAAATCACCCAAAAATTTTTATGTTCCCTTAATTTTTGCCAGGAGTGTAGTAAAAAAATTGATAGGACCCAAAATTACTACGTAACATACACACAAAAAAGAGACACACTAGCAAATGGTAAATCAACTGTTTCTGTATCGTGTATAAACAATTTATTTTTATCTTTAAGTACTTAAAAGAAAATAGCTCTTTTCTTTGGAAAAGTTCAGAAAATAATTGAATTATATGTATTTTGCTCATAGATCATTGTGGATTATAAATAGTTTGTCATTATCATCACACAATTATAGATCGCTTGTCCTCTTGGAGTTGTCCACGACTTTGTCAGATTGGCAACCGTCTACAACTAATATATCATGTATTCTACTTTGTTCATGGCAATTTAATTAATTAATTTCTTTGTCATATTTTAAACAAGAATTATTACCATGATTAAGATTGTCCATAATATACACACCTGAAACTACCATATCCATGTACGTCATATCCTGAATCGATTTGTAGTCAAATTTGCCACCGTTTTTGATCTCATTCTCTTTGATCTCCTGTGCCAGTCTCTCTTGCACTTCAGGGTTGATTGCCAACTCGTGCAGAGCGAATGACATAGCTGATGATACAGTCTCGAAGCCGGCGATAAAGAATAAAACAGCTTGCGCGATCAAATCACTGTCCGACCAAACTGTTAAATAAGAACCCTATGTTATTACATCAAGATGATTGCATAACACATTTTTCAATATAAATAATGAATGAATGAATGAATGAGTATACTTTTTTTGTATTATACAATATTAGAAATAAACAAGGCAATTTACAAACACAACTTTACAATTATATAAGTTCAGTAAGGCGGTCTTATTGCTGAGAGCAATCTTTTCAAGACAACCATAAGGTAATGGACTAATTGTTGTACAAGTACATATATAGATCTAATACATTATCACATACATCATGCATATAGAGAAAAGGGAAGGGAAAGATTTCAAATCATATGGCTAGCGACAGTTCCTAAAGATAGAAGACAAAAGGACTGGGGTCCAACAGTCCTATTGCAAACAACATGTCCTATTAGTTGACCTCCACGCCGTTCCCACTGTAAACTATTGTGGTTAATTCTTAGGAAATTCAATGGGCTACTTTGCTATCACAAAAAAAAACATATATATAAATTATATTATCCTTACTGATATTATTCCTTAAGGAGTATCTGATGATAATTATATGCAGGTACTCCCATAAGGAACGACATAAAGAACGGGGCCCTTCCTTTTTGCAATTTACCATTGGAGAAATTTTTCCAGTAGTTGCCACGCTTAGCAGGCAGGTTTGCAACTGCAGTTTGGCTTTTGGTGGTGTTTTAAGAGAGATGTCGCTGCACATCAAACTAAATCTGCCCTTGACCATTAAATTCCCTCAGTCGCCTCTTACGACACCCACGGAAAAAGAAGGGGTAGCCCATACTATGCTGGAATTACGCGGCACAGAATAGATTATAATAATCGATTCATACTTCATAAATGGATAGACTATTTTCGATAAAGAGTACACACATGGAGTTCTTAGTTTCAGCATTTTCGAATTTTGTTGGATTATATTCACCTCTATCTATATCTTTTTTCCCAACAGATGACTCTTCGACTGTAGCAAAACCAGCATCAGCATCTTGTGTAGTCTTGTCGTCATATGATAATTTTCCTGAAAAAATAAATTTAATGTGAACATTAATATTATTATTTCAAAGAAAAATTTATATATGTACTTTCAAACGCTACCATAAATCAGTGATTTTTGTAGAAATATTATTAAAACATGAAAATCCTATTCCAATAATTAATAAGTCATTAAAAGGTTTCAAAGTAAACGGGAATTTAATTAATTTTTTTATCGAAATTCTATAAATAAAATATGTATCTTTTACTTGTATAAACTGTTTATTTATTATATCACAATTGACAATAAAAAAAATTCCTTTAGGTCACTAATACAATTGAAACATAATTTTTGTTTTTAAACGACTTTTGTTTATGTCTCCCACTGGTAAAATTTGCATTGGGATCTTTTTTTATCTTTATTTAATTTAGGAACTTTTGTCCTTATAGGCACGTCAGTCCCATCGTACCTTAATCAATTTTTGGACATCATTGGATATATTTGCATTGGGATCTGGTTCATTGGGGTGGGAGGGGGCATAGTAGGCCATGTCATCTATCTCATCAATTTGAAGGGTACAGCCCCCCCCCGCCCCTCCTTCATATTCACCTATGCTGGTAGAGTAAAGGATCACATTTAACCTAATCTTTATTGTGGTTGCTTTTCTCGGGCGCGCATTTCTTTGATCTTGTTTTTACTGCTATCGTCGGCGCTATCATAGCCTCGATAAATTTTACGGGTTATAGTTACTTTCAAATTAGATAATATCCAAGTATTTGTTAAATACTAGTTTTTTCACGCTGCTTCGTGTGCGTGTATTTTAGAAGTAGGAAAACCAATGAAACGACCTAGTAGAGGTCCTACTAGGCATTATATCAAAATGCTTTATTTTGATCCACCAGTTTTTAAGTTAGATCTACAAAAACTTAATAGAGAAAACCGCATTCGTTTTGGTACAGTAGTTTTTACGTGACGCCAAAATAAACATAGAGACAGAATTCTCGTTTTGACTTCCATTGCTCCTATTATATATATATTTTTTTTAATAAGTTCCATGTACAAACATAGTTCAGTTACAATTTTATTATATTAGTAAAATTTTATCTGTAACCACAGTCGAACAAACGGTCAATGCCTTCCTTATCGCTTCAATTTCAAAACAAAATAGTCATCGTAATGACATTGAAACTAATCATTAGGTACGTACCACGATGTGTCTGATCGTATACACAAGATTGTTAATGATGTTGTGTTTGTTTACTTTATAAATGTTTAGGCAAAAACATTTATTGTACATAATAAGTTACAATTATTGGTCATCTAACAGCCCTACACTACAAAAACAAGAAACCGGTATTTGCATTTTTTATGGGATTGTCAGGGTCATTAAGGTATTACAAATAGGCATGGGTAATATGAATATCGATTCGATATCTATATATTGGATATTGATTGCGGAAAAAAGGTTATAACGCATTTCGATATCGCCCATATCGGTCGGATATCTAGTTTTGAATATGTTTAAAGGCTGTTATGTAATAATATCTTTTTGTATATAAGATTTTTAACGTATTCGTTATTAAACGAATATATAGGTATTGTAACTCAAATATATAAATATTGCTATATGTTACTCATCCCTATTTACAAGGTACAAATTTAGTGTATTGATCTAAGCGAAGATTTATCATATCAATAATCAATATACGTGATAAATATTACTGGTTAAATGATATTAAAAAAATATGTGTTTTGAGTCAAAACGAAGAAGGAAACAATGCGAAAAATAAAATTACACTAGTAAATTTGTCTTATTATTTTAGCTTATTAAAATGTTTGTAAAGATATTTGTTTATAATCATCATCATCATCATCTCAGCCATTATTTGTCCACTGTTGGACATAGACATTCTTCATAGACTGCCATAAAGAACGGTCCTGAGCAACCTGCATATTTAAATACAAACGCTTAAATGAAGTTAAATGTTTTCAGTAATGGGGAGGCAACTCCCCATTGCTATCAATATACCCTATCAGGTCGACCTTCACGCGGTCTCCCCTTGAAACTATCGTGATTAATTTATCGTTGAATTCGTCACGATAGGCTAACTGACCTGTCTCTTCATCTTTACCTATCACCTTTTAGTGTATACCGATAGCGCAGCCGAGGGTTACCATGCCATTTTTACCCATTAAAAAATGGAGTTAAATTAAAATTGGTATATAAGTAAACCATATTCATCCTGAATCCTATAGACAACCGACTTCTAAAAGATGAGGTTATATATTTTTTACGTTTTTGTTGAAAAAATTTTTTTTAAAAACAACTAATTTTATTAGATATTAAGATAAAGAGCTAAATAAATAAATAATATACCTTTTTTGGCTTCCATCAGAAGATGTATCATGTCCGGTCTGATGATGTTTTGCTCCTCTCTGTTCCTCATTGTGCTGAGCACCAGACTTTTGAAGAACGACGTGGTCGCCTCAGTGAAGAGTGTGAATTTAAGTTTCTGGAAAAATAAATAAGAAATATCATACAATCGGGAGAAAGGGATTGTTAGTAAGGAAGTCTAGTTGATCCATTGCTAGTAATACACACTATCAGGCCGACTTCCACGCGGTTCCCCCTGGAAACCGTCGTGGTTAATTCTAATGGAATTCGTCACGATGGGCTAACTGATCAGCTTTCATCCTCCCCTATCATCCCTCACTGGTGCCTCGCCAGCGTATCCCGATAGCGCGGGAGAGGTTAGCATTCCATTATCACAGTAAAAAAAATTATACAATCAATCCAATTTCCTGATCTTCAAAATGGAATACCTTGTGTTATTAGGAATCAAGTAACAACCTATGGGGGCACAGTCCAGTATACCTAGAACCGAGATAATTTAGGAAAGAAGGGAGGAAGTGATTATAAGTAATGCGGACTGCTAGTTCCATCATTAGCAATATATCGACCTCCCCGTGGTCCCCACTGGAAACCATCGTGATGAATTCTAAGTGTATTTATCACGATGGGCCGACAAGCCTGCCTTTTCATTCACATCTATCGTCCTTTACTGGTACCCCGCCAGAGTATAGTTTTTTTTTTGATGGGTGAAAATGGTATGGTAACCTCGCCTGCGCTAACGGGATACGCTGGCGGAGCACCAGTGGAGGGTGATAGATGAGAATGAAAACAGGCCAGTTAGCCCATCATGATGAATTCATCAGGAATTAACTATGATAGTTTCCAGGGAGAACCGCGTGGAGGTCGACCTGGTTGGGTATATTGCTAGCAATGGGATTCTCAGTCTCCATTACTAACAACCCCTTTCCCCCCAGCGTATACCGTTAGCGCGGGCAAGGCATTCCATTATCATTTATTAGAAAAAAAAAATAGGAAAGACTGTTTCTAAAAAATCTAAACGCAGGATTTCTCTGGAAGCAATGGGAGTGGTAGATGGTGCTACCGAGTAGATATATTACTATTGAGAGACATATTACTATTTATCGCCATGTGGTCCCGGCATAGAATAGGCCACCCCTTCCTTTCCCGTGAGCGTTGTAAAAGTCGACTAAAGGAGGGAGAGAGATTGGCAGTAGTGTTCTTCTTAAAACATGTCTAAAAGCCTAACTGCGGTTGCCAACCCGCTTGCCAAACGTGGCAACTATTGGAAAAACTCTCCTTAAGGGAAAGGCTTATATTCAGCGCTGGACAGTTAACGGCTGAAATAATAATAATAATAATAGATACTATTTATCAATATAATAAATATAATTATTATGCAATATTTATTTACGAGGTTATTCGCAAAAACTCATAGTAATCGACATAGCCCGAAGGATAACCATAGCTCGAAGAACCGACAACCGATGGGAAAAAAAGGTTCTTGAGTGGCAACCCAGTAAGGACAAACATAATCCAGAACGAACCCCCCCTAGATGAAGTGACGACTTCAAATGTATTGCAGAGAGTTAGTAGATACAGATGGCTCAGGGCCGTTCCTTATGACAGTCTATGAGGGAGACCTATGTCCAGCTGTGGACGGATAATGGCTGAAATTATGATGAACCTTTTTGTGCCGTCAAGAATTGAACCCGGAACCTCATTTAGTAAAGCAACGTACTCACCACTGCACCACAGTGGTCCTTAAAATAAAAGGTACAAGGTTCAAGACATCAATATTTATTTTTCAAATTTATATATAAATGCTCTTTTGAAGCGCTACGTTGCGTTGACCACTGATTCTTCGATAAAAATGTATCTACATATTTTATATGAAGATAAACTCGTGTTAAAATTTATTGCTTCTCAGATACTGTGTAATTGTTCCGTTTCTGATAACTATTTTTACTATCTACACATTTGTTTTATTTATAGTTTTTTTTTATTTATATAATAGTTTCCTCTTTGATATATATATATATATATATATATATATATATATATATATATATATATATATATATATATATATATATATATATATATATATATATATATATAATATATATATATATATATATATATATATATATATATATATTAAAAAAAACAAAACCGCTGAATCTAGAATCTTGAACTTTTTCTTTTTTTTAACGGATGATAATGGAATGGCGGGGCACCAGTGAAGGATGATAGGTGAGGATGAAGCTAGTCAGTTAACGCTTCATGACTAATTTAAAAAGAAGATTTCCAGGGGGAACCACGTGGAGATTGACCTAATAGGGTATATTGCTAGCAATGGGGCTGTTAACAATTCCTTTCCCCCAGAAGTATCTTGAATTTTTACAAATAGATTCTTTATATACCTTAGATGAACAATAAGAAAGGGGTTAAAAATTCAACCCCTAAAGGGATAAAACGGGAGTTGAAAGTTTGTTTGGAATTTAGAAGTCAAATACGATTTTAGATTTAGGCTCATGGTTCAAAACACGTATGAAATTGTGGGATAAGTCTATATTATCCTTACTGATATTATAAACTTAAAAGTGAGTTTGTTTGTTTGTTACCTTATAGAGTCTAAACTGCTTAACCAATCACTGATATTTAGTATATACGTATTATATGGGATGGAGAAAGATATAGGTTACTTTTTACCCCGGTCAGTAAACATATCCATATAAACATATATAGGTTTTTTTTTTAATGGATGATAATGGAATGGTTACCCCGCCTGCGCTATAGATATATAGCGGGGTACCAGTGAGGGAGAATAATTGAAAATGAAAGAGCAAGTCAGTTACCCCTCGTGATAAATACACCTGGAATTCAGCACGATGGTTTCCAGGGGGGGTTATTGGAGATTGATCTGCCAGGGTATATTGGTAGCAATGGGACTGGTAGTCCGCATTACAACCCAATTTACAACTGATTACACAGACGAAGTCGCGGGTAAGAGCTAGTAAGAATATATTTCAAATACATTTATTCTTTTCTTTAACAAATATTTCTTGAAATCTTGTTATTCTTCTAATGTAACTTATGTATGTATGTATACATACATATGTGTTCGTGCTAATCATATATTTTTTTTTATTTAACTTAGAATGACAAACAAGCTGACGGCCCACCTGATGGAAAGTGCTAACCGTCGCCTATAGACATGAGCAGTACCATGGACATAACAGAGTATACTGTTTCGCCAATGTTACCCCCCATGCGTTGCCATTCCTGAGGACTCAGGTGTTATTCCTCTGTACCCTGTAAATTCACGCCATTTCCCACTCTTCAAACCGAAACACAGCCATGCAAAAACAACTGCTTCACGGTAGAAACACGAATGTGACAGAGGTACGCAAGCAATCGACTTTTGTACAAAGTCTCCCTCTGGTAAATACGTACATCAATTATATTGATTACAGAGACCAGTTTCCTGTACACTGTTGTTGACAATAAAGTAATTATCCTCAGACCTAATTCATGTTTGACTATTATTCTTCACCATAATGCATCATGTGACTTGCTAATTGCATGGCGTATAAGGAAATAAAAACATCCGCAAGTATATATATTCAAAATAAAATAAGATTGTGTTAAATAAAAAAAAAACGATTTCAATTGTGGCAAAACAAGTTTTTTCGATTTAAAAATTAAACTTCTGAATTGATTTTGATTAATTTTCTATGAGACCAATTTGTATGTTTATACTATTTTTTTTATACAACTTAGAATGGCAAACAAGCTGACGGCCCACCTGATGAAAAGTGGTAACCGTCGCCTATAGACATGAGCAGTGGACCATGGACATAACAGAGTGTACTGTTTCGTCCATGATGTCCTCCATGCGTTGCCATTCCTGAGGACTCAGGTGTTATTCCTCTGTACCCAGTAAATTCACGCCACATCCCACCCTTCAAACCGAAACACAGCAATGCAAACACAACTGCTTCACGGTTGAAACATGAATGGGACAGAGGTATCCAAGCAATCGACTTTTGTACAAAGTCTCCCTCTGGTAAAAATTATAAATATTTATCATTTTTAAAGTTACCTAAATGTATAGAATTGAGATCTTTCATCGTTTTTTTTTTTAATTAAACACCGTTTTACACATTTATACTATGTATTACAAATTGTTTACATACGTTCATGTTTAGCGTAATATTCACCTTGTATTTGATTTTGCTAGTCGAGTCACAGTTGATCTGTGGGTAAGTATATTACCACGTGCGAAGCCCCGTGTTCATATATATACTTGTATAATTACATACTGTGAACTTCATAAAATGTAAATAACCATGATATTTTACAAGCGAAACGCATGGTAAAGATTTCCGTTGTGATTCAAATAGTGCATCAGTCCTCGACGCTCTCAAGAACAATATTTCTGACTTCATATTGAAGTTTCAGAGATTAAGTACAGTCAAAAAATATGCTATCTCTATTTTCGCATTATGTCTGTCACCTTATTAGTTAGCTATTAATTTGTGATTAAGTATACAAAGTCGTTATCTAACTAATCCGCCAGCCAAGCGTAACTGATAAAACCCCCCATGGTTTTAAAGGCTAATGATATAGTTATCGTATTTGCATATTATAACTAGGTCTTGCCCGCAACTTCGCTCGCGTAATTCATAGAAATATATTGTATCAATATAAACCTTTAGTAATATAACCGTAAAAACTGTCCTTGGCATTCGTGTTTACAGTTTAGTTTATTTTTAGAATTTGAAGAACTGCAGTTCTGTTTGCATGGCTGTGTTATTTAGAGGCGGTGTCGCAGAACGTGAACAAAATGGCAGTCGGAGATTGATGGTTAATATGGAAGGTTGTGAAACTTCTGGTAGTAATAGTGGTGGTCAATGTACGAATGTTGGCAGTCCCAAACATACTAATAGTAGTGGTAATAAATAAAATAATTCTAATAAAATAACAAGAAATGAATGGTCATCTTAATTAATAAACTTAGATGGGAATCTAATTGATTAAACTATTTTCTTTACGTATAGTTATTAATGTTAGGTTGATCCCCACTTAGTATAGGAAAAACCGTTTTTAGGACGAACGAATTTATATACGAACGAAATTTTAATACGAAAAGGTACAAAAATACTAGAGGGATAAAAATACAAAAGTACAAAAATACTAAATAACCAGAGGGAGACTGTTATGTTCATTTGTGTTTCTACCGTGAAGCAGTTGTGTTTGCATAGGCGACGGTTACCACTTTCCATCAGGTGGGCCGTCAGCTTGTTTGCCATTCTAAGTTGTATAAAAAAAAAAAAAAAAAAAAACTAGTATAAGGGTTTACATTGTGACTTTGTTTTATAATAATAGAAAAAGATAACTTACCGACATAATCTTTGGAAAAGAAATAAAGCCAAAGAACTTGAGAAGCTGAAAGTATCCAAATGTAGACGCTTCTTTCCCCTTCTGATAAAATTCATTTTCCTCTTTCATATGCGAGTCAACCTTCAGTCCGAAGGCGCAGGAGGCGATGACGTCATTGGCATATCGGGTCGTCAAATCTTTTGCCTCGATATCAACGTAGTCAACTAAAAATGTCATTAGAAAAATTTATTTTTCTTAAAACAAAAGTTGCAAATTTAGCAAGTATTAAACTATAAATGAGTAGCAATGTACCCTAGCAGGTCGATCTCCATACGGTTCCCCCTGGTAACCATAGTGATTGATTTATTGTTGAATTCATTACAATGGACCAACTGACCTGCTTCATCATCATCTGTCATCTCTCACTGGTGCCCCGCCAATGTATACTAATAGCATAGGCGGAGTAACCATTCTATTATCATCCATTAAAAAAAACTATAAACAAATATTAAATTTATCTGAAAGAGACAGACACAAAACACGGGGAAAGGCAAATATCAGGTCAAACTCTTCGTTCATCCTCCAGAGGGAGACTTTGTACAAAAGTCAATTGCTTGGGTACCTCTGTCCCATTCGTGTTTCAACCGTGAAGCAGCTGTGTTTGCATGGCTGTGTTTCGGTTTGAAGGGTGGGATATGGCGTGAATTTACAGGGTACAGAGGAATAACATCTGAGTCCTCAGGAATGGCAACGCATGGGGGAATATCATGGACGAAACAGTATACTCTGTTATGTCCATGGTACTGCTCATGTCTATAGGCGACGGTTACCACTTTCCATCAGGTGGACCGTCAGTTTGTTTGCCATTCTACCAGTTGTATAAAAAAAACCATTAAGGCGCTAAGAGCTAACAGACTAACTCAATATCACATTTATAACACTAGTAAGGACTAGTAACAATTTGTATAATATTTTAAAAGCAATGCTTACCTCCTGAATTTTTTATCTTAGCTTTAAGAGCTTGTATCATTTGATCGCCAACTTCCACCATAAATGGCACCATCAGGCGTATCTTGGAACTGGTGAACGCTGGACTCAAAGTGGACCGCATGTCCTTCCATTCTTGCCCTGTAAAAATATTATACCCATATTTCTATGGAAAAATGTAAATAAACTATATGTTAATAATTGTATTTTACTTCTTTATATATTATGAATTCACATTATTAACATACTATCACTATACTAGTTTTTACCCGCGACTTCGGCTGCGTGACTGGGATATATTCTTTAACCGGCACTAAAGGAGGGAAAGGGATTTTTAGTAATGGAGACTGAGAATCCCATTGCTAGCAGTATACCCAACCAGGTCGATCTCCTCGCGGTTCCCCCTGGAAACTATCATGGTTAATTCCTAATGAATTCATCATGATGAGCTAACTGGCCTGTTTTCATTCTTGTCTATCACCCTTCACTGGTGCTCCGCCAGCGTATCCCATTAGCGCAGGTGGGGTAACCAATCCATTTTCACCCATAAAAAAAATCTGGCACTAAAAGTAGCATTATTTCCTTTTCCATCTCATATAGTACGAGTATATATATAACAAACAAATAAATTTACTGTCACATTTTTAATATTAGTATGGAAGTCATCATCATGATATCAGCCTTTAACTGTACACTGCTGAACATAATCCTCCCCTTAGGGGGATTTGCCAGTAGTGTCACGCTTGGCAGGCGGATTAGCAACCGCAGTTAGACTTCGGAGATGTTTTAAGAGGGACGCTGCTGCCCATCCCTCGCCCTCCCTTAGTAGCCTCTTATGAAAGGGTGACATGTTCTACGCGAACATTAGTAAGGAAGTAAGGATTATATATATATTTTTTTGCAACTTAGAATGGCAAACAAGCTGACGGCCCACCTGATGGAAAGTGGTAACGTCGCCTATAGACATGAGCAGTACCATGGACATAGCAGAGTATACTGTTTCGCCCATGATACCTCTTATGCATTCCTGAGGACTCAGGTGTTATACCTCCGTACCCTGTAAATTCACGCCATATCCCACCCTTCAAACCGAAACACAGCCATGCAAACACAACTGCTTCACAGTAGAATCACGAAGGGGACAGAGGTACCCAAGCAATCGACTTTTGTACAAAGTCTCCCTCTGGTGATATATTATTACGTCATGATTATCATCATATCATCCGATATCTGTCCACTGTTGAATACAGTCCATAGTCTATGGGGACTAACGTAAGGAACGGCCCCAAGCGAAAGGACTGTGGGCCATTTCCTCATGTTATTTGCAATTGGTGAGTTTTGCCATTAATTGCTGCGCTTGGCAAACCGATTATCCACCACAGATAGGTGATATTTTAAAAGGGATGCTGCTGCCCATCCTTCGGCCATTAGGTTCCCTCGGTCACCTCTTACGACATCCACGGGAATCGAAAGGGTCCCAAGACCACATGGCAAGATAATAAAAATATTAATTACTATTATAATTTACTGACCTTTTAGTGAAAATAAATTTCTTCCAAAGAAAGGATCCACCTTTTCATCAACAAACGACCGATGGTCCAGAAAGTGCTCGAAGTCCTTGATAGATATTTTCTTGACAAGATCAAGATCTTTGACTACAATCATTGGGCTTAGAAACTCGTATCTTCCAACAAACCTAAAGATAAAAAAGAAATTCAATATCTTAATTATATAATAAAATTGTAATTAAACGATTCCTGTACATGGGAGATCATCATGCCTTTAACTGTCCACTACCGAACATAAGCATTTCCCACTGGGGAACTAGTAGTAGGCCACGCTTGGCAAGCGGATTGCAGTTAGGCTTGGAGATGTTTTAAGAAGGACGTTGCTGCCCATCTCTTCGTCTCTATGGGAGAGATTTTTTTTTATTATTATTTTAAGGGCTTTTATCTTCTTCAGGCATATCAGTCCTATTGTACCCTGAATTGATTTCTCAAACAAAACTTTATCTACTTTCCCTAGACGCGGAAAGAGAAGAATTAGTGGGCATCAATATTTAGAGAGGATATGGAGAGATATTTAAGAAAAATTAATATGAGTAATAATAATAATAATTTATGCTAAAACAATAACAGTTTTTAGAATTTTTTCTATATCTCTATCTGTATGTTTGTTCCGGTATCACACAAAAACTACTACACCAAATTTTTTATCTTAATACGTCATTTAGTAGCACTCTATTTTATTGGTTTCTTTACTTCTGAAATCCAAGCGTGGTAATGGCTGGAAAGAAATATGAAAATTTTATCAAGCCAGCCTATTTAAAAAAAGAACGCACCAGTATATTTAAAAAAAGAAAAAGAATTTTTTGGTCAAACTTTTCTTGTAATCTCTTAATGTTATGTTAATAATTATTAATTTAAAAACAATAAATATAAAAAACTATATTTAGAGAAGTAGTATCTTTTTCCGATATACATTTATTTTGATATCAATAACTCTTCCTAAAATATTACTTTTAAAATTAAATTATTTAATTAATTCAATAAGATGGCTCTTATGGAAAGTTTGAAACTCGATCGTATAGAATATGTTAGTAAAGTACCAATAATTAATTATAATTACTGTTTCGCCCATGATAAATTCCCATAACATACGTATATTCCTAAACAAATTTATTATGTCATAAATTTGATATTCAGTAAATTCATAGACAAATAATATTCAAACAAACACATATTAATCACAACTGCTTCACGGTTGAAACAAAAAAAAAATATACAGTGTGTGTGTCAGTTACATGGTAGTGTGTGTGTAAAAGGTCTTTTATTTTATTATAATATATTTATTTTGATTATATCTTTAAACTTAATCACTATTTGCCTATCAACTTTATCTATATCCATTTCCTATCTTTATAAAATTACATAATTTGTAATTGTAATTTGTAAGATAATTTTTATCACGCACAAATAATAAAACAAATAGCTTATCACAATTGTTGTAACTTATTATCTGTCTGTCCTGTTGTTATGTTTATTTTTAACTCGAAAGTTTTATTGTTATCACTAAAGTACTTTCTAAATGGTATTAGAAATAAGTCAAAACATTCAATAAATTTTTCAATTGTTTTTATTTGTTCCACTAATGTAATTTATTTTTTATTTGTTCTACTACTGAACTTCAATAGACTGTCTTATTTTTTTTATTTTTTTTTATAAAACTTAGAATGGCAAACAAGTAACGGCCCACCTGATGGGAAGTTTTATCACGTCGCCTATAAAACATAGCTTATCCAATTGACGTAACAGATTATCTGTTTCGCCCATGTTATCCCCCATGTGTTTATTTTTAGGACTCAAAGTTTTATTGTTATCACTGAAGTACTGCCATTCCCATATTAGAAATCAAAACATTCAATAAACACAACTTTTTTTTATTTGAAACACGAATGTACATTTATTTTTTATTTGTCGACTTTTGTACAAAGACTGTCTTAAAATGGGGGGTCAATCCAATACCAAAATGAGACTTTGTACAAAAGTCATTTGCTTGGATACCTCTGTCCTATTCGTGTTTCAACCGTAAAGCAGTTGTGTTTGCATGGCTGTTTCGATTTGAAAGGTGGGATATGGCAGTGGATACACAGAGTACAGAGGAATAAGACTTGAGTCCTCAGGAAAGGTCCCATTCCCATTGTCCCATTCGTGTTTCAACCGTGAAGCAGTTGTGTTTGCATGGCTGTGTTTCGGTTTGAATTGTGGGATATGGCGTGAATTTACAGGGTACAGAGAAATAACATCTGAGTTCTCAAGAATGGCAACACATGGGGGGTATCATGGGCGATACAGTATACTCTGTTATGTTCACGGTACTGCTCATGTTTACAGGCAACGGTTACTAATTTCCATCAGGCGGGCCGTCAGCTTATTTGCTATTCTAAGTTGCATAAAAAAATATTTATTTGTTTACTTATTCATTAAGTAAATATTACATTAAAACAGACTATACGTTTTGTATTTCATTGACTTGTCTTTCATATTACAGTGTCAAAATGAACCTTTTATCTTAAGGCAGAGAGTATGAATTAATAGGTTATTTCATGAGTCAAAAACACAAAAGGTTTAATAATTTAATCCGCTATATACCACTACCATGTAATTTGTATGGCTTTCTTACATTTAAGATTATTATAATGCATATTATGCCATTCATTAAATGTACTATTTAATTTACTTCAAATTCAATAAATTCGTTAAGTTTTAGTGGATTAACATATTACAAACTCTTAGAAAATGCTCTGTTTTGTCTATGATTGTAGCAAAATGCCAAACAGCTCAATTTAATTTGTAAAACTGTCATGTTTTATATTAATATAACTAGTGATTCGGCCTGATTTCGCATGGGTTAATAGAATTTTTGAATATAATATATAGCTTATGTTACTCGCTGACAATGTAGCATTCTACAAGTGAAGTCATTCACTAGTTTTTAAGTTTACCAATTATAAATAAATAATCAATTCCTCCTTATGACAAAGTATAGATTGTTAATTTTTTTTTTTTTGTTACAAGCAATTATAAATTAATATTTCTCTAATTATAGTATTATAATAGAATTAATAGTTTAGAATAAAATAAAATATGTTATACATTGTATGGTAGTTATAAATATTTACAGTAGTTTCTGAGTTTATCCATGATAAACAAACAATCAAAATTTTGCCCTTTATTTTTAGTTGATTTTTACTTTATTGTATACGCTAATAATACATAAAAAAATGCAAGTAAATGTACAAAGCTTAACTTAAAAGCCGAGCTTAACTCTAAAGTTCTCTTCAAGCAAACCCAAAGTGGAAAGCAGCATCAATGAGAGCGGTGTAAAATATTGTGATAATTTTCGAACAAAAAGAACTAGAGTTTATACTTAACTAATTAATCTTTATAATATTATTATAGATAAGTCTAGTATAGTTAGTATTATTATTAGTATAGTTTGTAATTATTAAAAAAAAAAGAAAAAAGAAAATGAATTTAAAATTCGAACCTCTCTTCCGGAAAACTCTCGTAATATTTCATAATATCATCAGCGAAATGATCGATCCGTAGTACGATCTTGGCCATGTTCCCTAAAATTGGGACAGGCCTGAAGTGCTTCACCCCATGTTTGGAGAATCTAGAGTATACCTGGCGACAGTACAGCACCAAGGCTGCCGCAATTGCCAGCAACCAGATGAGGTACAACATAACCTGAAAAAAAAATCACTTATAGAGTTTTCTTACGCAACTTGAGACAATTTGAATGGCAAATAACCCGGCGACCTAACTGATGTAAAATGCTAACTGTCACCATAAATATAAGCAGCACTATGAAAATTACAGAATGCCCATGACGCTACTCATGCATTGCTGGTCCTGTGTGTGTTTGCCGTGTGGTCCTAGCATAGAATGGGCCACCCCTTCCTGTCCTGTAGATGTCGTAAGAGGCGACTAAGAAAACTTAATAATCGAGCCATGGGCAGCAGCGTCCCTGTTAAAATATTTCCAACGTCAAGCGTAGCAACCTATAGGTGCTTATGTTCAGCAGTTTACAGTTGATATAATAGTAATAAATTTACCAGAGGGAGACTTTGTACAAAAGTCGATTGCTTGGGTACCTCTGTCCCATTCGTGTTTCAACAACGAAAACGCGAATTAAAGCCCTGAACCAGCAGTTGAGATGAAGTAAGTGATGATTTGCATGGCTGTGTTTCGGTTTGAAGGTTGTATTTGGGCTGTGTTTCGGTTTGATATGACGTAAATTTACAGGGTATAGAGGAATCTTCAGGGTCGACAACGCGCGCGTAATGCCTCTGGTATTGCAGGCGTTCATAGGCTACGGTAACCGCTTATCATCAGGTGGGCCGTATGCTTGTTTGCCACCTCAGTAGTATAAAAAAAAGAATAACACCTGAGTCCTCAGGAATGGCAACGCATGGGGGGTATCATGGGCGAAACAGTATACTCTGTTATGTCCATAGTACTGCTCATGTCTATAGGCGACAGTTACTACTTTTCATCAGGTGGGCTGTCAGCTTGTTTGCCATTCTAAGTTAAAAAAATAATGTATTCCTGTAAGGTACTTCCGCACTCAGTAATTTTATTGTTTTATTTCATTCTTCAAATTGGGAGGGAAGGAATATTTAGTAATGGGTTCTAAAAGTCCCATTGCAAGCAATATATCCTATCCAATTGACATACACGTAGTTCTACCTGGAAACCATTGTGGTTAATTCTTGTGGAATTCGATACAAATTGCTAGATCGCTATGGTCATGTAATAAAAAACATAGTAACGCACGAGTAGTACTGGGACAGTCGTCCCTTTTCGAAGATTGCCCTTGATTACCTTGATCTTGTAACATCAGTTAGTGCGCAATTTTTACTACCAACCAGGTTGCATGACTGCGTGCTTGTGTAAGACGTTCGTTTACAAACGATAAGACTATTTAAAATCGCCTGTTAATATTACATTTATAATGATATACTTTTTCAAAAATCGATATGTCTCTAAAGGATTTGAGCAAATTAAAATAGGAAAGTATAGTTCAAAAGTACCTTTATACGTCTATTCCTATAATTTTAAAGTACGTAATCAAAGTCGCAGTTATAAATAACTAAATGTAAATGAAATGAAACAGTTCGACCTAAAAAATCAACCCATTTGGTTTAAAAAGTGATTACTGTAAGGATAAAAATATTTCATCTCATTTTTTTGCTAATTTTATAAAAGTCAGTGACCATTTACTGTACATTGCTGAACACAGAGTTCCCCCATAAAGGGGGTTTTGCCAGGAGTTGCTACGCTTGGCAGGCACGTTGACAACCGCAGTTAGTCTTTGGTGATGTTTTAAGAAGGACGCTGCTGTCTATCTATCAACCATTAAGTTCCCTTACGACACCCACAGGTAAGGAAGAGGTAGCCCATTCTATACGGAGATCACATGGATATATACACATAAATAACTTTTTAACAATAAAAAAAAAAAAATTTTGAAGAAACAATTATCAAAATTAATGTACAGTTTTGTTGACAAATATCATAATATAATCTTTTTAAGACAATAAAAAAATAACAAAAGTACGCAAATAGAGCGCGTATTACAAATGAATAAATTCACTTAAACCGTTACTTTTTGAATAAAAATTAAATAATAAACTTAAAAACTATGTCTTTCACAAATATTGAACAAAAATCCCAAATATATTTAATACAATGTTTTAGTGCAATTTCAATTTGAAAATTCAATTTTACTTACTAGTATGTTTCAACAATAAATGCCAAATTCACTGGCACGCAAATATCAAACGAGTTTCGTGTCACTTGGCTTGGCTCGACCTACAACACTGCTTGTGCCTGTTGCAGCACGGAAAACACTGTGCGCGTGCGCAACCGAATGTGTTTTATATTCCTTATTAGATCGGTACGTCTTAGTACCGCAAAGATGACAATTTGATAATATCTATCATTCTTTGTTTGTATAATTAAGTACGTATTTAAATTTTGTTGTGCGTAGGTATTTAGGTGTTATCTTGATTCGTGTATTAATCATTATTTTTTTATAGTCTACCTGTTTGTCTTATACAAAAAAAAAAAAAATTATATATTCACCAATATTTTTATTTATTTATTTTATTTCCTTGTTTCCATGTCTTACAGGATAAGACATTAGAAGAATTAGAACATTATTCTTGAACTAATATATTAAAGTGGGGGAAAATACACACATACATATATACATAAATATATACCTAAACCATCAACAATCTATTCGTCACGATGGGCTAAACCTATCCTCATATATCCTTCACATACAATATACCTATTATCACATATAAAAAATATATTAAAGGTTGATTTACACAAGTACGTTGATTAGGGTTCGATTTATGACATTTTTAATTATAAAGCAATTGCACGTATATTATTATGATATTAATAAGAATTATTGTAAAATATTGGTTATATTATTTTTAACTATATTTATTGCAAGAGCTCCACCGACAAGAGCGCAGCTCTTAAATAGGATAGATAGATAGATATTTATTGCATCCATTATTTATTTTTTGACACGTTAAATATGGATCTATGTACAGTAAAGACTATGAGTATAATCCGGACCTCAATGATCCAGATTCGCGATTATCCGGACTGTCAACTTTCTAGAAAATAATGTATATATAACTCTGAGATGTTAATCCTCTGTACTCTGTAAATTCACGCCATATCCCACCCTTCAAACCGAAACACAGCCATGCAAACACAACTGCTTCATGGTTGAAATACGAATGGGACAGAGGTACCCAAGTTAGTTAATAGGAAATCGTACTCCTAATTTCTTAATATACATTGATTTTAATTAGTTTATACGAATAAACACACGTACGTAAATGAGTTAAGTTACCTTTTTAAAGCTAAGACTATGCACAAACATTGCTCCGATGTATAAATTAAATTATCCGGCTTTTTGATTATCCGCATGTTTTGCAACAACAAATGGTCAAGTTAATCGAGTAAATTATGTTAGTTATTTATAATATTTGTTAAGATAATAGTTAACTAATTAGTTTATTTAAAAACTTATGTAAAAAAAAAAATTAAAATTTTATCAGAATGATATATTTATATACTCATCAATATTTTTATTTATTTATTTTATTTCCTTGTTTCCATGTCTTACAGGATAAGATTTTAGAAGAATTAGGAACATGTAAAATATTCTCTGTTATGTCCATGTTACTGCTCATGTTTATAGGCAACGGATAACGAACTTTTCATCAAATAAGCCAGGTTTATTTGCCATTCTTTGTATTGTATAAAAGAAAATAAAAAATCATGAATGGTATGAAAATTATTATATTGTTAAATGCTTTTTTAGTGCCCGCACTAATATGTAAAACAAATTTTATGTTTACGACACCAGGTAAATTGTTACGAAACAAATGACTGTCTGAGTAAATGACGCATCAACAGCATGATGCAAAAACGATTTTGATTGACTTATAAAAGATTCATATATTTGTTTATTTATACTTTTGTACATTTGCTTAAAGTATAATATATATTAAGTTAAAACAAAAATGTGCAATGATGACTTATCCCTTAAAGGGTTTTCTTCAACCTTAAGAACCCGAAAGGAGAAAATGTTTGTATATAAAGCATAACATACGTATATGGTGTAAAAATAATACGATGAATAATTATTAAAATAATAGTAAATTATATATATATATATATATATATGTTCGCGACATTGTAATCATTTTGTATAGTTTATAGCGATATTTTATAGTTAATTTTGTCATTAGTTTTAATCGTTTAAATTGTTAATTTTACATAGATTTTTACGATGTATCTATAGCTCGTAAGTTGAATAAAACATTTTTATTGTGTCTTGTCATTATTACCCGTAAATAGAAATAAGGGAAAATTGTAAAAATAATAGAAATAAGACAATTGTAACAAATAAATAGACGCCGAACGGTGCTTTTAAGCATTAACATGTTGTCGTGCGACCGGGCGGGTATAAAGATAGGCCGCCTACCGTCGAGCGGCATGCTCTGTTATGCTCTGCGACACAGTACACTCCCCAACCGATAAGAAATAGGAACTCTTCAGAACGGAACCGGGAGCTTCAGAAAAGGAATTATTGCGTTTCTCTCCAGCCTGAACCAGCACCCCTACAGTCCACGCTCACCGAGCGGTCAAGCTGCACCGTTCAATATATATATATTCCCTATGTTGACTGGGAGAGAATGCTTTTAGCATTAAGTCCGCCATGTACACATATTTGTACTAATGAATAAATAAATGATGAATAAAATCTTGTAATTACAAGAATAATCACATTGAGAAAACAATGGCCAGCCTACCGCTAAAAGCGATCTCTTCCAGGCAACCTTTGGATGGAGAGGAGTAATTATAAACAGTTTGATCAGAGGCATGATGAAATTCTATTATTTCTAAATATGGAATTCTTTCTAAATTATACATATCTGTATATGTATTTAAAAAAAGATCAGTTTCGTGCCTCCATTTAAACTGTTTATAATTACTCTTCTCCATCCAAAGGTTACCTGGAAAAAATCGATTTTTGCGATAAATCCACCCGTTGTTTTCTCAGTGTAATATTCTCTAGGAATTGTTTATATCTATAATAAGTTTAGTTATATAATCTTATGGAGGAAACAATAAAGAGTATCTATCCAGATAGCTATTATTGTGATGTTCAATTGTAAACGCAGTGTCAAGGTTGATTTGATACCTAATTGAATGGACACACGAGACCACACTGCTGTTGATGACGCCTCAGCTCCCGGGTGCACGTCCGTGTATTGTCGGATTTTAATTCGGTGCATTAAGCTGACATAAGCTAATGTCACTTTCATAAATAATGTTGCCCCATCTAACTTAGTAGTGATGGCTTCATTCATTTAAAAACCAACTATTTTCACTAGCGTAAACCTATTAAGTTATAATTATATAAGTAATATATAATAATAACTATTTCATTACAACAAAAACAAGACAAGAAAAAACCTACCTACCTCGATTTTTTTTTATTTATACCAATAAATAAAAAAAAATCGAGGCCCGCATTGTACGCTGGTTTCTCTCCCTGGGGCCCTGAACTCCGGCCGACTGTGCTTCTGCCGGAGGTTAGTTTGCCATCTCCTCTCCTTAAGAGGAGAGATGTGAATTTTCTAGAAATTTAAAAAATAATAATAAGCAATACAGTAACAACCTGCAACACTGGAACTGACAGTTTACTGCACTGAATTAAAAGTCCCGAATATAAATCTCAAGGCGACCGCATGCCCGGTAGTCGACCATTATCTTCGTTTATTGCAGTCTGCAACCGCTGTACACATATACCCATATTATATTAAACTCTATCAGCATCTTTATATAACGGCATGCTGCGCGACTTTAACTCATTATAAGCGTGTGACACACACTTAACGACTAATGATAGGTTAACCGTCGAAAGGACGATCAGAAGATGATTGGGGTTGCCCAATCGACGACCGACCACTCTCTTATTTCACAGTCGTAGGTCATCTATTTTGCTAGATTTGTCTCCCTTAACTTGTAATCCACCCTCAAATATATATAAACAATGTGCCCAATATAGCAGGGATCCCATCACCTATATCAAATAGTGAGGACGGTATTCTATGTACAGACAAACATCCTAAACTAGCTTTACCATGGGGGGAAAGGGATTGTTAGCAATGGAGTTTGACAGCCCCATTGCTAGTAATATACCTTATAGGTATATTGCTAGCAATGAGAATTAGAGGTCGACCTAACCTCCACGTGGTTCCCCCTGGAAACCATCGTGAACAATTCTTGTTGAATTCGTCACGATGGGCTAACTGACCTACTTCATCCTCACCTACCATTCTTCACTGGTGCCCCGCCGGTATATACCGATAGCGCGGGTGGGGTTACCATTCCACTATCATCCATTAAAAAAAATAGTGAGGACGGGGTGAACAAAAGCACCTCCAATTAAAAAATGATACAGGAGGCTCGACCAAGATACTATTTCAGAATCATAGATTATATCGATAGAATGTCATTCAAAATATATCCATCCATCAATTTGCTATGTGTGTGTGAATTTAGTTACCATAATATACATATATAGTTGCGCCATCTATCGTATCACACAAGTTTACCGCGTTATAATAATATTTATAGGACTGACACGACGATCAACACTACTTCCTTTGTTTCCTATTCCCGCACGTACTTTTGGTATACGTACGGGCAAGAAAGGCCCTTTGTCGTGCTGAAAGTTTAAAAAATTCGCCCGCGCGGTGGCGCGAAAGTTGACTAGTAACGCCCGCATCACCAACATGTCTGGTGCACATTGTTGACTAGTAGCTCCCGTATCACCAGCATGTCTGGTGCACATTATTGACTAATAACTCCCCCATCACCAGCATCTCTGGTGCATATTGTTGACTAGTAACTCCCGCATCACCAGCATGTCTGGTGCACATTATTGACTAATAACTCCCGCATCACCAGCATCTCTGGTGCATATTGTTGACTAGTAACTCCCGCATCACCAGCATGTCTGGTGCACATTATTGACTAATAACTCCCGCATCACCAGCACGTCTGGTGCACATTATTGACTAGTAACTCCCGCATCACCAGCAAGTCTGGTACACATTGATGACTAGTAACTCCCGCATTACCAGCATCTCTGGTGCATATTGTTGACTAGTAACTCCCGCATCACCAGCATGTCTGGTGAATACAGTTAGTCTTTTTTGATATCGCAGAGTTGTGAATTAACTCCCGCATTATCTGCATATCTTTTTTGGTACCGCACATGTTGGACTCAATATCGTACATTTGGTGAAATGCTATTATAACACCGCATTGAAAACTTTTGACT